TTTATTTCTTATTGGCTGTGTTAGGTATTCGTTGCTGCGCGTGGGCTTTCTCTAGTTGCAGCGAGCAGGGGCCACTCCTCGTTGCAGTGCGCAGGCCTCTCACTGCAGTGGCTTCTCTCGCTGCAGAGCACAGGCTCCAGGCATGTGGGCTTCAGTAGTTGCAGCACGTGGGCTCAGTAGTTGTGGCTCACGGTCTCCAGAGCACAGGCTCAGCAGTTGTGATGCACGGGCTTAGCCGCTCCGCAGCATGTGGGATCCTCCCAGACCAGGGATTGAATCCTTGTCCGCTGCATTGGCAGGTGGACTCTCAACCACTGCACCACCAGGGAAGCCTGATACTTAAAAACTTTTATGAGTCTTTTATCCCTGCTACTCTTCTAAGACTACCTTTACCTGGCTTCTACCCTCTTGATCACTACTACTGTAGTCCAAACCACCATCATCTCTCACCTAGACTTATCAAGGTCACCAATAACCTTCGTGTTGCCAAATCCAATTCTCAACTTACTTGACCTAACAGCAGCATTTAAGCAGTTGATCATTTCCTCTTTCTTGAAAGACTATCTTTACCTGGCTTCTACCCTCTACTGATTTTCTTCTCACTTCACTGGACACTTCTCAGTCTCTTTGTTGGATCTTCTTTCTCTTCTCAACCCTTAAGTATTAGAGTATTCTAGTGTTCCATCCTTGGACTTCTACTCAGTTTTAGCTTACACTCATCTTAGAAAATCTTAACCAATTCCATCATCTTAAATGTCACCTATAAGCCAATAAATCCAAAAATGTATATCTATAGATTTAACCTCTCCCCTGAACTCCAGACTCATATCTCCAATAACTATTCTACTTGGAAGTCTAACAGTATTCCAAACTAAACATGTCTAAAATCAAACTCTTGAGTCCCTGTTTATCAAACCTAATTCCCTTCAGTCTTCTCCATCTCAGTAACTGGCTCTGTGATTCAGCCTGTTGCTCAGGCCAGAAATATTGGGGTCATTGTTGACTGCTCTCTTTTTCTACTACCCTCATTCAATCCATCATCACATTGCATCAGCTCTGCCTTCAAAATATATCCCAGGGCTTCCCTGGTGGCGCAATGGTTAAGAATCTGCCTGCCAATTCAGGGGACGTGGGTTCAAACCCTAGTCCGGGAAGATCCCACATGCTGTGGAGGAACTAAGTCTGAGTGCCACAACTACGGAGCCTGCGCTCTAGAGCCCGTGAGCCACAACTACTGAGCCTGTGTGCCACAACTCCTGAAGCCATCATGCCTAGAGGCCATGCTCCACAACAAGAGAAGCCACTGCAATGAGGAGCCTGTGCACCTCAACGAAGAATAGCGCCTGCTCACCACAACTAGAGAAAGCCCACATGCAGCAATGAAGACCCAACACAGCCATAAATAAATAAATACATTTATAAAAAAATATATATATATCCCAAGTCTGATCAGTTCTCACTAACTTGATCACTACTACTCTAGTCCAAACCGCCATCATCTCTTACATAGATCCCTTCCTTGTAACTGGCTACCCAGCTTCCACACTTCCCCCATGATAGTCTTTTGGGAGTGATCCTTTTACAGTATAAGTTAGGATATGGTACTCCCCTATTCAAAAATCCTCCAACGATTCACATCACACTTAAAATAAAACCCAAGGTTTTTTCCATGATCTACGAGGTCTTTTGCTATATTCTGACATTATCTTCTCCCATTCTCCCCTTCCTTTTTTTTGTGCTTCAGTCACACTAGTCTCATTGTTATTCCTCAAATATATGACAAGCACATTCCCATCTCTGGACATTTGCACTTGCTGTTCACTCTGCCTAAAATACTCTTTCTCCAGATATTCACATGGCTCATTTCTCTGTTCAAATGTCACCCCCTCACAGGGACTACTTCATCTAAAATAACTCCTTCATTTGCTGGGATTTTACTCTGCTCTATTTTCTTTCATAGCTTGTAACATTAAAGGGATTATATCATGTATGCATTTGGGTTTTTTTAATTATTTTTTTTTATTTTTTAACATCTTTACTGAAGCATAATTGCTTTACAATGGTGTGTTAGTTTCTGCTTTGTAACGAAGTGAATCAGCTATACATATACATATATCCCCATATCCCCTCCCTCTTATGTCTCCCTCCCACCCACCCTATCCCACCCCTCTAGGTGGTCACAAAGCACCAGGCTGGTCTCCCTGTGCTATGTGGCTGCTTCCCACTAGCTATCTATTTTATGTTTGGTAGTGTATATATGTCCATGCCGCTCTCTCACTTTGTCCCAGCTTACCCTTCCCCCTCCCCGTGTCCTCAAGTCCATTCTCTAGTAGGTCTGTGTCTTTATTCCCACCCTGCCCCTAGGTTCTTCATGACCTTTTTTTTTTAGATTCCATATATATGTGTTAAAATACGGTATTTGTTTTTCTCTTTCTGACTTACTTCACTCTGTATGACAGATTCTAAGTCCATCCACCTCACTACAAATAACTCAATTTTGTTTCTTTTTATGGCTGAGTAATATTCCATTGTATATATGTGCCACATCTTCTTTATCCATTCATCTGTCGATGGATAGTTAGGTTGCTTCCATGTCCTGGCTATTGTAAATAGAGCTAATGAACATTTTGGTACATGACTCTTTTTGAATTATGGTTTTCTCAGGGTATATGCCCAGTAGTGGGATTGCTGGGTCATATGGTAGTTCTATTTGTAGTTTTTTAAGGAACCTCCATACTGTTCTCCATAGTGGCTGTACCAATTCACATTCCCACCAGCAGTGCAAGAGGGTTCCCTTTTCTCCTCACCCTCTCCAGCATTTATTGTTTGTAGATTTCTTGATGATGGCCATTCTAACTGGTGTGAGATGATATCTTATTGTAGTTTTGATTTGCATTTCTCTAATGATTAATGATGTTGAGCATTCTTTCATGTGTTTGTTGGCAATCTGTATTCCTTCTTTGGAGAAATGTCTATTTAGGTCTTCTGCCCATTTTTGGATTGGGTTGTTTGGTTTTTTGATATTGAGCTGCATGAACTGCTTGTAAATTTTGGACATTAATCCTTTGTCAGTTGCTTTGCTTTTGTTTATTGGATATATTATCTGCCTTCCACACTAGAATGCAAGCTCTATAAGGGCAAGGATTCATGTTTTGTTCAGTCACCAAGTCCTATCAATTCTACCCCTTAGAAATATCTTCATTCCATCTTCTCCATTATCACTACCTTCGCCTTAATTCAGTTGCCATCACCACTTGCTAGGACTATTATAGTATTCTCCTACTTGACTTTCTGCCTTCACCTTCTTTTGATGTCTTTCTCTCCCATTACTTACCAGTTTGATAGCACTGTAGTTGATATGTATTCATGTCTCTCCTATGTAGAATCCTTTGTAGGGGACACCCTCTTTGCCTACTGGATAAAATTCAAGCCCCTCAACACAGCATCCAAGTCACCTCCTGCAACCTCCTCACCTTTACCAGCAGCACCAAACTGCTTATATCTCCTCATGTCCTTGCCTGTGTCCTTGGGACATACTGGTTCTTCTACTTAAATGTCCTTTCCTGACTCTCAGAGATAGATAAATATTTCTTCCTTTGGCCATACTTCTATTGCATTTATTATACTGTGGTGGAATTTTTTTCTTTTTTTGCTTACATGTAGGTCTCTTATTAATCTATGAGCTCTTAAGGGAAGAGAGTTGTGTTTTATTCAGGCCACAGCTTCTGTCACACAATAAGGGGTAGATGAAGATTGGAGTAGGGCATGGAGAACGTTCACAGTAGAAGGGACTGTGTGTGTAAATACTCTGAGGCATGAGGGGGCTTTGTACCAATTCACATTCCCACCAGCAGTGCAAGAGGGTTCCCTTTTCTCCTCACCCTCTCCAGCATTTATTGTTTGTAGATTTCTTGATGATGGCCATTCTAACTGGTGTGAGATGATATCTTATTGTAGTTGGTGCATCCTGGTGCAGGATGGCTGCCAAAAGAGAGAAGGGCTGTGTGACTGACCCAGTGAATAAAGGGGAGAGCGGCAGGAGGCAAGCTAGAAAGACTGTGGGAACCAGATCACGCAAGGCCCTTGTCGAACATGCAAAAGATCTTGAACATCATCCTATGAAGCCTCTAAAAGATTTTAAGGAGAATAAAGGTAAAATTTGCACTTAAAAAAAAAACCCTCATGAAGCTTGCTATGTAAAGAATGGATTGAATGAGTACAAGAACAAATAGAGAGAGACCTTTTGGACACTAGTGCAGTCATCCAGGTGAAAAGGGATGATGCATTGGCCTGGGTTGGCAGCAGTGGGGATAGTGAAAAGTAAACAGATTCAAGATATATCTTGGAGGTAAAATGAACAGGACTTAATAGGACAAAAGGGGGTGAGGAAGATAGATGGCACAACTGAATGGCTGATGGTATCATTTGCTGAAATGCAGATTTGTCCTAGGAAGTTCAAAGGAGCAATAGCTAAGTTTTGAGAAGTTGAGTTTGAGATGCCCGAGTATGAGACATATAAAGGGATATGCTGAAAAGGCGGCTGAATATGGAGGTATGAATTTCAGAAGAGAGGTCTGAGCTGGAAGAATAGCTAGGAGTCATGAGCACACAGACTGTGTCTAAAGCCATAAGAGTTGATACGAGAGCCAAGGAGACATGGTAGCATGAAAACAGAAGAGGATTATGGATGATGCAGAGTTGAGAAGAAATTCATTGGATTGGAGATAATGAGAACAGGAAGCTAAGAGGCCACATGGACTTTATAATTGCCCAGGGGAGTGGCAGAAGTTGAGGGGACAGGAAGGCCATGAGCCAGGTGCTTGCAGATCTTCAGAGAATGAGAAAAGTGGCCAAGAGTTTGGAAGATCATTGCATTCAGAAGGGAGAAAAGATGAATGGATAGATGACATGAACCTGAAAAAGGCACATTTTGCAAGAGGGAGAGGGAATAGTGACGAGAAACAACCTAAATTTCCCCTTAATTGTATTCTCTGTTTCAGATAATGAGGATCTTCAAGAATGTCTTCGAACTGCAGGTTAAATAGGCTCAAAGAAATCCCACCCCTATTGTTCCAGACTAAGCCCATCCCCTGGGGCTTAATCAAGGCAGAGAAGCTGCCAGAGCGAGGAGGTCTAACCTGTGGGAAGGTGGCATGGAATAAGAATGGCAACTAAGAAGCTGTACTAAGAGTTCAGGTGAGAGCAGGTGAGAGATTGAATGAATGCAGAGGCAGAGGGGACAGCAGGGAGAGAGAGCTTGAGGAAACATCTCTAACATAGCTGGAGACTGAGTTCAATCATGTGACCAATGATCCAATCAGTCATGCCTTCCCAGTGAAATCCCAATAAAATGTCTTGATGCTGAGGTTCAGAGGAGTCCCTGGTTGGTGAACACGGGTGTGCTGGGAAGGTGACATGTCCTGGCTCCCCAGGGAGAAGATATGGGAGCTCCATGTTGAAGACCCTCCCAGACCTCACCCTATGTGTCCCTTCATTTGGCTGGCCCTGGTTGTATCCTTTAAATAAAACTGTAATTGTTAAGTGCAGTGCTTTTCTGAGTCATTTAGTTCTGTGATTTATTCTTGTGAATTATTGAACCTGATGGGATAATGGGAACCCTTGAATTTCTGCCAGTTGGTCAGAAGTGTGGGTGACCTGGGGACTCTCAAAGTGTGGATGGCATCTGAAGTAAGGGCAGTCTTGCTGAGGACCGTGCCCTTAAACCTGCGTAGTCTTACACTACCTCCAGGTGGTTAGCATCAGAATTGTATTCAGTTGGGGTTTGTGTTAGAGTAACAGGTAACAAACAGAGAATTCTACTCAAACTGACTTTAAAAAGTGAAGGGAATTTATTGGTGCACATTACCAAAAACGTCCACAAGTAACATGGCTTCAAGCATGGCTTGACCCAGCAACTCAAATAATGTGACCAGGACCTAGTTTTTCTCTCCTAGTTTTTCCTGAGACTGGCGTCATCCTCAGCAAACTCTCCCTTCCTGGTGCAGGATGGCTGCCAATAGTTCCTGAAGCTATGTGCATGTGGATTTACATCCAATTAAGAGAGAGATTTTTATTCATTCAAATAGATGTTCAAGAATTGAGTATAACTGGCCAAAATTGGGTCATATTCCCATCCTTGAATGAATTATTATGACCAGAAATAGTGCCATAAGTCAATCAGAACCTACTTCTAAAACCAGAGGTGGGATTTATCTTACTTAAACCATTTGGCCATAAATGGCTTGCCTTATACAAAATCTGGGTACTACTGTTGGAAAAATGGGGAAATAAATACTATGGAAGCAATCAGTAATGGAACCGTGTTCAGTTGATATTTATTTAATTGACATCTCATTTTGAAAATTAGCTGCATTCTGGAAAACAATCCCAGATTCCTTTAGTTCTTAAATTCTACACTTAAGGGTTGTTCTGTCTGTACTCCAGGTGGCTTAGATACCTTGTGAGGTTCTCTTTACAACCTAATGATTTGCTGGTACAATCCCAAATGAGAGAAATACAGCTTGTCAGATTATGGTACAATTCATCTTCTCCAGAGATCATTTATGTGACAACTTAATTATTCAGAGAATAAAACCCTAAGAGGTGCCCACACTTAAAGAGCTGACAGAAGATGATTCTGCAGAACATCTCCATGCCCTCAGTTCTGAAAAATCACTTGAAACTACTGAAAGAGATGTCACAAAGTTTACGTACCAGAGTTCATGGACTTTATTTATGGGCAACATTCTTCGATCCTCTCTTAGAGTCAATTTGCCATGATTCTAGGTGCAGTTCTAACAGGTTTGTTATCTGATGTAATGATCATCTTTGTTTTTGCTTGTTCACTGTTCTTTATTTAGGCAAAAGCACCCTGATTTTCCGTTGGGGAAACTAGTTCTCTCTAACTTTCAGTTTTGTGGTTTTGATAGGACTGATACTACCCACAAGGTCGAAGAATGAGTACAAGGATCTGGCCAGTCCCTTGGCCACACCGTGACTGATTCTGAAATGGGAATGTGGCCCAACCTGGGCTATTGAGAGCCCTACCCAGAACTTCGCCTGCAACTCTTATGGGGTTGCTAGGTTGTTACGATGTTAAGACCAGACATGTTGTTGGGCTATCAAGGGGGAGAATCCAGCTGGAAAATGAAACCGACATAGAGAGAAAAGCAGAGGAGAGATAGACAGAGACAGAGGCAGAGAAGGAATCCACTTCTGATGTTATTTGGGCCCCTGGAACGAGTCATGACTAAAACTCTTGGATGTTTCAGTTACAGGAGGCAACAAATTTCCTTTTCTGCTTAAGCCTGTTTGAGTCAGGTGTCTGCACTAAAGTAGTTTAAACTAATTCATCTGGTTTTCTGCAACAAGCAAATTGGAAGCAACAACAGAGGAGGGTTTTTGCTTGGAGGCATATGAATCAGCAGCAGTTTCACTAATTTTTAAAGAATGTTATGAATTCTGCACACTTAATGAAATAAAATCCAATATTTTGGTACTTGGTGCTGACACCAAAGGAAAGCAAAGGAAAACTACAAAATCTCTCTCTCTAATTTAAAAAAAAAAAAAAAAGAAAGAAAAAGAAAGAAAGCAGTTTGGGATCCAGATCATGACATCATATCTTACAGTACAGGACAATGTTTGATAGTCCTGATGTGACATTCCCTATTTTTATACCTGTCATCAATGGTCTTTCACACTTAAAACCATCTTTGATTCCTCTCTTAGTGAGTAGTTACAATACTAGAGCAAAATTATATTTTTAAACTTTCTGCTTTAATTTCCTGCAAAGCCAAAATACTGGATTTTTTTACATGTTTAGAATTTATAAAGTTTTAAAAATATTAATGTAACTAAATATTATTTAACACATTTAAAAACAAAAATTGTAAACAAATTACAAAATATCCTTCTGGCCACTACTGGCTCTGCTGCTTTCTGCAACTTCACTTCTACCCCACACATATCCATACACATCATCTATGATGTAGCTGGTTAGGAAGAGCTTCTAGACTTTCCTGCCCAGTTTAGCAACCCATAGGGTTTTCAGGACTACTTCTTCTGATTGAAAATGATTTCTCTCCTGTGAGCCCAAAAGAGATGGCCCTAGCTGGGTCTGACTCTTCTCCATCCCCTATGGGGAGATTTCCTACTTCAAAGACTCCTCCTTTTTAGTCCTCGCTCAGCATTTTTGCTGAGAGAGCGTAGTGGAGGATGAAGTTTGTAAGAGATGAAGTTTGGAAGAGGTAGGGAGTTACTGGAACGGGGTGGTAAGGAGGGGATGGGAGGGTTTATGGTGATAAATGGTATTGGTTTATGGTTAGTGATGAGGAGGAGGTTAGAGCAGGAGGAGGAAGGAGGGTTTGAAGAGGACCTAAGAAGAGTAAATAAAGCTGCTGACTGAGGTCTAAAATAATGGTATTACACCAGTAAAAATACCTTAATTTCAGTGCTTAAAAATAGCACAGTATATGGGTACACTGGAATATAGAAAACAGTAATGCAATCATGATTCCCTCTTCCCTGACCTTCAGTCAGAGTGCCTCTAAATCTTGTTAATTCAATTTCAGACACATGCCACTCCACCTGGAGATTCAACTTCCTGAAGTATTCTTGGCACAAACCTTGAAAGGCTCTGGTTCTGTTTTAAGAAGGAAAGCCATGTACTTACATCACTTATACACACTGCTGCCAGATTAATAGTTCTGAATCACAGTTCTACCACAGAGCAACGAATATTTATTGAATATTTGGTATGTGGCAGGCACCAGGCTCTCTTTATATTACCTTATTTAACCTTCATAACAGCCCTTCGTAGTAGATACTGTCATTAACCCCATTCTGTAGATAAGAAAATAGAAGCTTAGGAAAATTAAGTCTCTTGAAAAGGAAACATAGCTCCTAAGTGGCAGAACTACGTTTGGAACTAATCTGTCTCACTCCACTTGGGTCCTTAACCTCTATTCTTTTTTTTTTTTTTTTTTTTTTTTGCGGTATGCGGGCCTCTCACTGCTGTGGCCCCTCCCATTGCAGAGCACAGGCTCCGGATGCGTAGGCCCAGCGGTCATGGCCCACGGGCCCAGCCGCTCCGCAGCATGTTCTATCCTCCCAGACCGGGGCACGAACCTACGTCCCCCGCATCGGCAGGCAGACTCTCAACCACTGCGCCACCAGGGAAGCCCTTAACCTCTATTCTTTATCACCTCTTCTGCTCAAAATCTGAGTGAGTAGTCAATAAAGTCTAAGGGCTTATCACTTAAGGCCCTTACCCCCAACTGCCATTCCAATTTTATTTTCTACTATGGCCCTTCATACATCTGATTTTCAGGGCAAATAGAAGTATTTGTTGATCACCAATATGCCTCAGCAATACACACTTCCATGTCTTTGTTTATGGAGGAATGTTTTCTCTGTGTCACTGGTTCCAGAAAAAAATAGAAATATTTAAATCACTGTTTCACACAATAATTGTCATAGTTTTTATTTTCCATTACAATAACAGCCATTGATTTTTACATATATACATATATACACACACATATATATATTTCTTCCCTTAAAATAAACTATTTTCTTCTGAAGTATGTACAAAGATTAAGTGGTTTGGAAATGTATTAGGCCTTTACAAATTGTTTATAAATCCAAATCCAACAGAATTAGGATTCCAAATAGTAGAAATCATTTTACCAGAAGTCCAAAAAGTCTTCAGGGTCTCCCAAGATTATCTAAAATAAACACAGAAACAAAAAACTATTCAGGACAGAAATTTGGCAAGTGGTCAGTCTCCTTTTGTAGGGTGCCTCTACTCCTAACAGGCATAATTTTCGAAAAAAAAACCTGCTGTGGAATAAATTTCATGGATTAAAAAAAATGCTGAGTGACGTTACCTTGAATGTACAGTCGATTTGGCCACAATACAGCTTCAGCTTTTTAAAAAGCAGTAGCTCTCCAGAAAACAGAAAGAGAAGGGAAGATTTTTCCAACTTATTTTAGGAGGCTACCATTACCTTGATAACAAAACCAAAGAGAGTCCAAAAAAGAAAACTACAAACAAATAGCCCTCATGAACATAGATGAAAAAAATCCTCAACAGGGGAATTCCCTGGCGGTCCAGTGGTTAGGACTCGGTGCTTCCGCTGCATGGAGCCAGGTTCGATCCCTAGTCAGGGAACTAAGATCTTGCATGCCGTGCACTGGCATGGCCAAAAAAAAAAATTCTCAACAGAATTTAAAAATTGAATTCAACAATATATAATATACACATATATATTATAGAATATATATACGTAAAGAATAACACATCATGACCAAAAATTCAAAGCTGACTGATTCAGTATTCAAAAATCAGTCAATAGACCCACAAAAATATAGTCATTTGATCTTTGACAAAGAAGCAAAGGCAATTCAGTGGAGAAAAAATATGCTGTTCAACAAATGGTGCTGGAAAAACTGGACATCCATGTGCAAAAAAAATGAATCTAGACACAGACTTTATACTCTGCACAAAAATTAACTCGAGATTATAGACCTAAATGTAAAATGCAAAACTATGAGACTCAGAAGATAACATAGGAGAAAACCTAGATGACTTTGGGTTTAGTGAGGTCATTTTAGATACAACACCAAAGGCATGACTCATGAAAGGAAAAATTGATGCAGACTTCATTAAAATTTAAAACTTTTAAAAAAGTTTAAAACTTTTTTAAAAAGCTATGCAAAAAACACTGTCAAGAGAATGAGAAGACAAACCTAACACTGGGAGAAAAAATTTGCAAAAGACATATCTGATAAAGTATTGTTATCCAAAATATACAAGAAACACTTAAAAGTCAACAATAAGAAAATGAACAACCTGATTTAAAAATGGGGAAAAGATCTGAATAGACACTTCACCAAAGAAGATATACAGATGGCAAGTAAGCATATGAATAGAGGCTCAACATAACATGTCATTAGGAAATTGCAAATTAAAACAACAATGGGATACCACTATACACCTATTAAAATGGCTAAAATCCAAAACACTGACAACACCAAATGCTGGCAACGATGTGGAGCAACAGGAGCTCTCATTCATTGTTGATGGGGCTGCAAAATGGTACAACCACTTTGGAAGATAGTTTGGCAGTTTCTTATAAAACCAAACATACAATATGGCAATTGAACTGTATTTGCCCAGAGGAGTTGAAAATTTACATCCACACAAAAACCTGCACGTGGACATTTATCGTAACTTGATTCATAGCTTCCAAAACTTGGGAGCAATCAAGATATTCTTCAGTAGGTGAATGGATACACAAACTGTGACAATGGACTACTATTATTCAGCGCTAAAAAGAAATGAGCTATCAAGTCATGAAAAGACATAGAGGAAACTTATGTATTATTATATATATTTCACTTATATTACTAAGTGAGAGAAGCCAATCTCAAAAGGCTACATAATGAATGATTCCAACTGTATGATATTCTGGATAAAGCAAAAATAGGGAGGCAGGAAGATCAGTGGTTGGTTGCAGGGTGGGGTGGAGGGAGGGATAAACAGATAAAACACAGGATATCTTTAGGGTAGTGAAATTATTCTGCATGATACTATAAGAGTGGATACATGTCATTATACATTTGTCAAAATCCATAGACTATATAATACAAAGAGTAAACCCTAATGTAAACTATGGACTTTGGTTGATAATGATGTCAGTGTTGACTTATTGATTGTTACAAATAAATGTACCATACTGATTCGGGATGTTGATGATGGGAGAGGCTGCATGCAGGGAGGGGATAGGGAGGCGGGAATTCTCTGCAGTTTCTGCTCAATTTTACTGTGAACCTAAAACTGCTCTAAAAATAAAGTGTATGTATGTATGTGTGTATATATGTGTGTATATATATATATATATATATATATGTACGTATGTGTGTGTATACATACACTTTATTTTAAAATTATATACATTTTATATATGTATTTATGTATCCTTTTAATATTCTAAAAAATATATCAGTGTAATCTACCATACTTGTCATAATTGTCCAAAGAAGAAAAAATACATTATCAATTGATGCAGAAAAAGCATTTGACAAAATTCAACATCCATCCATGATTAAAAACTCTCAGCAAACTAGAAATAGAAAGGAACTTCGGACTTCCCTGGTGGCACAGTGGTTAAGAATCCGCCTGCCAACGCAGGGGACATGGGTTCAATCCCTGGTCCAGGAAGATCCCACATGCTATGGAGCAACTAAGCCCATGCGCCACAACTACTGAGCCTGCGCTCTAGAGCCCACAAGCCACAACTACTGAGCCCACGTGCCACAACTACTGAATCCCGTGTGCCTAGACCCCGTGCTCCACAACAAGAGAAGCAACCGCAATGAGAAGCTCGCACACCACAATGAAGAGTAGCCCCCGCTCACTGCAACTAGAGAAAGCCTGCGTGCAGCAACGAAGACCCAACGCAGCCAAAAATAAATGAATAAATTAATTAATTTTAAAAAAGAAAAAAAGAAAGGAACTTCCACAAGCTGATAAAGGGCATCTATAAAAAAACCTAGAGCTGATATCATATGAAATGGTGAAAAGCTGAATACTTTCCCCTAAGATCAGGAACAATGCAATGATGTCCACTGTCACCACTTCTATTCAACATCATACTGAAAGTCCTAGCCAGTGCAATAAGGCAAGGAAAATAAATAAAAGGCATACAGGTTATAAAGGTAGAAGTAAAATGTTCCCTATTTGCAGACAATGTAATTGTCTACATAGAAAATCCTAAGGAACCTACAAAAAACTCATGGAACTAAAATGTGAGTTTAGAAAGGTTACAGGATACAAGGTCAACAGAAAAAATCATATTTCTACATACTAACAATTGTCAAAAGGAAACTTAAATTTTAAATTATATAATTTATAATGGCTCCCCCCCAATTAAATTCTCGGGAATAAATCTACCAAAACATGTACATGATCTGTATGCGTAAAACTTCAAATGCTGATGAAACAAATCAAAGACCTAAATTAATGGAGAGGCATGCCATGTTTATGGATTGGAAAATGCAACAGGGAAATGATGTCAGTTTTGCCTAAATTGATCTGTAGATTTAATGCAATTCTAATCAAAATCCCAGCAGAATTTTTTGAAGATATGGACAACCTGATTTTAAAATTTATTTTGAAAGGCAAAGGAGCTAGAATAGCTAAAACAATTTTGAAGAAGATGACTAAAGTTGGAGGAATTATATCACCCTATTTTAAGATTTACTTTAAAGCTACAGTTTCCAACACAGTGTGGTACTGGCAAAGGCATAGATACATAGATTAGACAGACAGTCCAGAAATAGACTCACACAAATATGGCCAACTGATTTTTTTACAAAAGTGCAAAAGCAATTAAATGGAGAATGAATAGTCTTTTCAAAAAATGTTGTTAGAACATTTGGACGTCTACATGCCAAGAAAGAGAGAGAGGAGAAGGAGGGAGGAAGGAAGGAAGGAAGAAATAAGGAACCTTGACCTAAATTTCATACCTTATACAAAAAATAACTCAAAAATATCTAAATGGAAAGCATAAACTATAAACATTTAGGATAGAACATAGGAGAAAATACATGTGACCTAGGGTTAGGCAAAGAGTTCTCAGACATGATGCCAAAATCATGATCCATTTTTAAAAAAAGATGAATTAGACTTCACAAAAGTGTAAAATTTTGCTCTGCAAAAGACACTTAAAAGAACGAAAAGACAAACTATAGACTGGAGAAAATATTAGCAAATCACATATCCAACAAAGGACTTGCATTCAGAGTATATAAAGAATTATCAGAACTCAACTGTAAGAAACAACCCAACTAAAAAATGGGCAAAGGACTTGAACAGACACTTCACCAAAGAAGATACACAGATGGCAAATAAGCACATACACAACGTTCAACATCGTGAGCTATTGGTGATGCAAATTAAAATGGCAATAAGGTACCACCACGTACCTTTTAGAATGGCTAAAAAAATTCTGACAGTACCAAGGTCTGGAGAAGATGCAAAGCACCTGGAATACATTGTTGGTGAGAAAGCAAAACGATAAGCCCACTCTGGAAAACAGTTCGGTAGTTTCATATAAAGTTAGACATATAATCTAGAAATCCTACTTCTTGGTATTTATCCTAGAAATAAAGACTTACTTCACTCAAAAACCTGTACAGAAAATGTTTTTTTTAACAGCTCTACTCATAATAGTAAAAAAATAAAATGGAAATAACCCAAATGTATTTTGGCAGGTGAATAAACAGTGATGGATCATATTTTGTGATAGGATGGAATACTACACACACAGGCGTTCAATTTTATATGCCATTTTAATTTTGTTTTTAAGGAATAGATTTGAGACAAATGAGGAAGAGTGTTAAAATTTAACAAGGCTGGTTGGTGGGTGTGTGGATTTTGCTGTGTTATTCTGATTCTTTTCTGCTTGTGTTGTATTCTATATGCATATTGTTGTCGACATCGGTAATGAGCAGATTATTTCATATTTGTGTAGTGTGGGCATTTACATACCTCACACCACTTAAGCCTCATGATCACTTTATGAAATAAGGACAGAAATTATTATCCCTATTCCATAGAAAAGGAATCTGAAGTGGATTGGGGACTCAGTAGTTCCTTGTTTAGCCTAGATTTGCATGGAAGTCCACTGGAGAAGTTCCCTTCAAGCCCAGGTGACTTGACCCCAGTCACTCCCCCCACCCCAACCTTGGAAGGCACTTATTTAGTGGGGGAACGAATTGTATTAATAATAGCTAAATGTTCAAAAACCAGTCATCCTGAAGTACCAGAAGGGGCCTCCAGGAATGATTCCCAGGCGATGGATACACATTTACAAGTCAGTTCTTAGGAGGTGAAGGCAGGTTCTTTGGCTACCTCCCACTGGCTCACTCAGTGACCTTGGGCAAATCACTTAACCTTTCACTACTTATATTTACACTCCGGTAAACCGAATGTGTAATATTCATCATTACTCATTCAGGCTCCTGCGGAACACATCTTGAAAATTAGGGACCGATTTACGGTGGATCATATGCAACAACGTCAACTTTTCAACACAAAGTACATCTTCTAAGCCAACCCCCCGCCCCCGCCATTCGTCAAAGAATATTTTCACTCTCATTTAAATGGCGAGGGCTATTTTAAAGGAGATTGAGTTTATACTTTTAAATGATCCATAACTTTTAAATTACTAACGTAAGAATACTTTTGGTGTTAACAAATTAAAGCAACGCCTAACTAGACAGAACAATAAGTCAGTTACATTCTATTGCCCATTTCGTCTGTACTGGCTCTTGAAGATTTTAGAAGCAAGCAGTTTGTTAACCGTAAGTTTTAGAACTTTATTTCAGCCCTGATAATGCCTTTATGAAAATCCTTTAGGTTCTGAGTATTATGGTGTGAAAGAAGAAAAAACGGCACAGAGCAGCTCCAAATCCAGGAAAATTGGTAAAGATAAACTAGGAGCCGATGATTGCCAGCGCTCCAGGCTGGTTCCCGACTTTGGCTACGGGTCGGGGCAGCTGTGATGTCTCGCTTGGGACTGGCCCTGGAGGCTCCTGGCAAGGAACCTGAGCCCCCTCGCGGCCGAACTGCCCGCAGAGGCCATAGGTCCCTTTAAGGCATCCTGCGGGCAGGGACCCGGGAGCTAAGGGGGCGGGAGGAGGGTTCTCAAGCGCACGCCACGTGACTCTATTGCCAAGTTCGTTCGCGAGTTTGACAGAAGTTTGAATTGGACTCGGGGGTTTTCTGCAGCCGGCGGGGTAGAGCGGCGGCCGCGGCCTCGGCGAGCGCGAGCAGCAGCGCCCCCGCGACCCACCCAGCCAGACTGGATCCCGGGCCGCCGACGGCCGCTCGCGCTTCGGTACAGCTCGCTTCCCCCGCCGCGGGTCAGCAGCCCCGAGCCCCACCGCGGTCCCCGCGGACCGCGCGCGCGCCCCAGCCCCGCCGCGCCAGCATGTCCTCGACGGAGAGCTCCAGTCGCACGGCGGACAAGTCGCCGCGCCAGCAGGTACTCCCTGCACGCCCCTAGGGCTCTCTCGCCGCCCCTTCTCCACCTGGGTGTCGGGCCGACCCTTATTCTGCCCTCTCTCCCGGGTGTGAGTGGGAGGAAGAGGGCCAGCGCTTTCCTGGGTCCCCCACCGCCCTGACCCCGAGCCCTGTCTCCGCAGGTGGACCGCCTGCTCGTGGGGCTGCGCTGGAGGCGGCTGGAGGAGCCGCTGGGCTTCATCAAAGTTCTCCAGTGGGTGAGTCGCTGCCCTAGACGAGGGCTATTTCGGGAGCCTGGGCTGTGACGCTGACCCGAGCAATGTGGCCGAAGTGGGGGGCGGGGAGGTGCTGAGGCCGGTCCCGAAGGAAGGGTGGGGGGCGGTGACAGGTGGGCGGGGGAGGGGCGGGCTGGGGCTGCTTCTCCAGCACTTGGTGGCAGGAGGGTGAGGAACGAAGCACGCGGAGCCCCGGATTCGGTCCTTCTATGTGCAAGGAGTCTTTGCCCAGGGCGCTCACATTTCACTCGGGCGAGAGGACCCGGGTGTAACCTTTCCAGAACTCTGATCCTGCACATACCACTCCTCGGTGGCGGGAGGGGCGAAGAGGACAAGTGGGAATGAGGAGAGCTGCAGAGGGCAGAGGACGGAAGGAGGCAGGCGATGGAAACCATCCTGTCTCCAAACCCACCAGGACCTGACTGATCCTGGAGGTGGATTCATGGGACAGGGTCCTGGCTGGCAGCTGTTCTGTTGAGGTCACTAGAGCAATCTGTGTTCCTGTAACTGCGTGAGGGAGTGGATGAATGAATGAATGGAGTTCATGGCTCTAGGATTACATAAAAGAAAAAATAGTAAGACAGAATAAAAATCAGCCAAAATGTGGCTTGTAGAATAAGATAGAATATTGAGCTAGAAGGCTGGGGCCTTGGGTTCTAGACCTGGACCTGCCTTTTCTACTTACTTGACCCTGGACAATTCTCTTCTTTGGACTTCAGTTTCCATATTAATCAAATGTTCAGACCATCCCTAGGGTCCCTTTCTGCTCTAAATGGGTTGGCATGCTAGAACATTGCCCTTGGGTTAGACTTATCCTGTGACCTTGAAGAAATCATTTGCCCAGGGCCTCAGTTTCCCCTGCAGTGGTATAGGGGAAATACCATCTTCTCCTGCCTCACTGGTACTTTGAGACATTAGCATGTTCTCTGTCCTTCGTGGTGCCCAAGGCCTCCTGGGTATAAATTAGGAATGTGGACAGGTGCAGTCGCTCTTTCAAATCATAAAGACTTTTCGAGAGCAGTTATTGCACTGTCACAGAAGAGATTTAAGTTAGACAATCCACACACCAAATGGTGTGTGAAAAACTTAATTAATGTGCTTTCAGCACAGAATTCAGCTAGGGAATAAGTTACCATTAATACTGAGGAGGATTGAGTTCTAAGGGGCTTTTAACTCATTGGAGACAGGAGCTAGCACTGTGTCGCTGATTCTTAAATCATCCTTTGGACGAGAATCATCAGATCTGGAATTCGGGGGCAATAGTGCATTTGGGGTTACCTCTGGATATCTGAGACCCTGACTGGGGCTACAGGCCAGCATGCGGAGCTCCCAAGTGCAAACTCTGGGACCTGTTGGGGACTTTCCACTCTCTCTACTGCCTCAAGAGCGGTTGGAACTACTGCTGACTGAGCTCTTTCACCTCCCCCCCACTTCCGTGCCATGAGCCACCACTTGAGTACTTGAGGGGGCCGTAGAAGAATGATATTAAGACTCTGTGTGTCTACCATCCAGAACTAGGGATCCATTATGAGTGGTCCAGAGGAGCAGAACCAGAAATGTAAGGTACAATTTTATCATTAAACTAGACAAATGGATCTAAGGGAAATTTGAGAAAGGCTGTCAAGGGATGAGGGAAACAATGAGGTTGTTAGACCATGGAATCATCCTCCATGGGAGGGATTCTGAAAAGCTTCCTTCTTTAACCTTTCTACCCTTTTCCCAACCCTCCCCCAACCAATACCCACAACATTTCTATAAGGCTGCACAAAGCAATGCCTAGTCTCCTCCCACAGTCAGTTCTGATCCCTAAGAATTAAGACCTGTTTGACTTTTTTTTTTTTTTTGTGGTACGCGGGCCTCTCACTGTTGTGGCCTCTCCCGTTGCGGAGCACAGGCTCTAGACGCGCAGGCTCAGCGGCCATGGCTCACAGGCCCAGCCGCTCTGCGGCACGGGGGATCTTCCCGGACCGGGGCACGAACCCGTGTCTCCTGCATCGGCAGGCGGACTCTCAACCACTGCGCCACCAGGGAAGCCCGCTGTTTGACTTGTTAAGATCCTCAGCTTCTTAGAGAGGAAGTTATGCCTTTCTCTCGTAATACTCAATCCAAGAGTCCAGGGCTAGGCTCTGCACTCAGCCTTCATTCGAAGGGTAACATCATAAAGAGACGTGATTTGCTTTTGCTGCCATCCTGGTAGCCTGAATTCAGAGTGAGTTTCACTTGCTCTGAGTCTCTGCAGGTGAACACAGGAACCAGCACCAGGAACCAGCACCAAAATGACAGTGAAAATGTCGTCTGGGACTTTTTGCATATTTCCTGCTTGGAGGGATCAAATACTCCGGTCTGGAAAAGGGGGGAAAAACCACAGACGAACCTGCAGTTATTGTAATGATAATTGAAAACTTTGTTGTCGCTATTACAAAAAGCAAAGGTTTTACTGGAATCCTGGTGAAATAAAAGTAATGTTATTCTTTTATTAGTGAGGAGCTTAGCTTGGGGTATCTCCTTAAAATTTAAAGATTAACTAATCTCACCTCAATTGCAGTTCTGGGGTCTCACTAAGTCTACACTAAGCTAGGAAAATAACATAGGCATATACCAATTATTGGAGAACTAGTTTTTCTCTGCTTTCTAGCTATGGAACCTAGGGTAAGTGATGAAATCTTCATGGGTCTCAGTTTCTTATCTGTAGATGAGGGTAAGATCTATCTCATGAGCTCACTGGGAGGATTACAGGAGCTAATATCTGTAAAGCATTGGAGCATTCAGGAAGACCATGGTGAGCCTGGCAGTCCAGGAGGTATTCAGCAAGTGTTTGTTCCCAAACCTCTCCTTCTCCCTAACTTTCCCCCTTATGCAGACTGTCAGCTAGACTTGTCCTTTGGTGAGATTATTCAGATGTCACTGCCAAATCCTCACTTTGAGGGTAAGGTACGAATCTCCTGGATTACTCAGTTACTGTATCGATAATGTCACGTTACCTTTAACTTGTGCCCTTGATCAGTAGTTCACCTTTGAGGTGCCAAGGTCACTTATTTGGCCCTGGGGTCTCTGTAATGAAAATAAGGTATTTCTGTAAATGTGGGGAGTTCGAAAGTACACCATCAGAGTCCATAAAAACCAGTGAGATGATTGTGGGAATAGGATTTGGGGGAGAACTTGTCTTTCTTGTGCCCTGCACTAAGTGGAAATGTTAGTGTTCTCAGGACTGACAAAGGATTATCACCAAAAAGCAAGTCAGCACCAAAGTGGAGCCTCATCCTTAAAGTAGCAAGGTTATTCTGACATCTTTCCAAAAGAGATGCAGAGGGCTTCCCTGGTGGCGCAGTGGTTAAGAATCCGCCTGCCAATGCAGGGGACACGGGTTCGAGCCCTGGTCCAGGAAGATCCCACATGCCGTGGAGCAACTAAGCCCGTGCGCCACAACTACTGAGCCTTCTCTCTAGAGCCCATGTACCACAACTGCTGAAGCCCGCGTGCCTAGAGCCTGTGCTCCACAACAAGAGAAGCCACTACAATGAGAAGCCCGTGCACCGCAACAAAGAGTAGTCCTGCAACTAGAGAAAGCCCGGGCACAGCAACAAAGACCCAATGCAGCCAAAAATAAAATAAATAAATTTATTTAAAAAAAAGAGAGAGATGCAGAGGGAGGAGGGGAAGGGGGAAGAGGAAGAGGAGGAGGAGGAAGAGGGGTAGGAGGGTGGCAGTGTATGACCACTGCTGTTCCCAGCAATGCAGGTCCATGAGGAGGAAGGCTGGTTGGTACCAGAGCTCTGGAGTTGCCCCTTGTCTTAGGGTCTCCATGTCTTTGTGGCTTCTGTTCTTTATGACCAGCTTGTTTGGCTCAGAGCCTTGTGCTTGGTGACAGGGGTGGTTTCTGTTCTTCCCCACTCTTCCCTGTGGCTCAGTCACCTGGCACAGTTAAGGAAGAAAGCATATCTGATACAGAAAGGTAGAGGAGGCTGGGAAAGCATGTCTTTCTCTGCTCCTGCATCCCAGGTGCAGAGCTACTTCCTCTCTCTTTGCAATCCTCCCTGCACACGGTAGAGATCTTTTTCAGCCTTTATAACTCTGTGATGCAGGGTTCTGTTTTGGTTTTTATTTGAGCATGACTCTCTCCTTTCTGGATGCAAACTCTTGAGAGCAGGCACCAGGTCTTATTCAACTTAGATTCTGCAGCACCTGGCACAAAGTAGATGCTCGATAACTCTTTGTTGATTAATGAATGGGTGATGTAGAAAGAGCACAGAACCGGGAATCAGGAGTTGTGAATTCTAAGCCTGGCTCTCACATTGGCTAAATGTGACCTTGGGGAAGTCACTTAATCTTTTGGGACTTCAGTTTCCACCTCTATGAAATGAGACTATTGTGCTTGATAATCTCTGAGATCCTTTTTGCTCTGTGAACCTGTGAGATTTTGCTGAGATTCCTCCATCCGTTCACTTGCATAGCCAACTGTCATCTGTTATCTGACACCATCTGACTGTGTTATGTTCAAATTTAATCATATATTCTGGTTAATAAAGTTATATAAGGTGTTTAGAGGCTCCTGACTTTCAAAGAATCAGAATAGAAGAGAATACAGTTAATACTAAAGTTACTATGGGTATATTTTGCCCAGAGAGGAATCGTAAAGGAGGGTTCAGGATTTTCAGAACCTCAAGGTTGTCATCTGGCCATAGCAGAACTTCCCGCAATGATGGAAAAGCTCTATAATCTGTGTTGTCCAGTATGGAACCTGCTAGTCACATGTGCCTAGGGAGCACTTGAAATGTGGCCAGTGTGTCTGAGCAACTGAATTTTAAGTGTTATTTAATTTTAATGAATTTAAATGTAAATAGCCACACTTGGCTAGTGGCTACCATTGTGGATAGTGCAGCTCTATAGTAGGCGCTCCATGAAGACAGAGGTTTTTTTTCTCTTTTGTTCACTAATAAATCATATCGCCTAGAACAATGCCTGGTACATAGTAGATGCTCAGTAAATGACATCTTTCTGTAAATGGTCAGGAGTGCCAGTCAAGAGAGTGCTAGTAAAAAGCAGGCTCCATAACTAACTGTTCATTGCCCCAAGTTAGGAGTACCTACTTTTGGGGGGAACCTATTACAGAGTCATTCACTGGCTAACTGCCAACAGTAAACATATATCCAACTGTCTGCCCTTCCCAGAATGTAACGCCTTAATTGTGTCCAGTTCTGGGCACCAGAAGCTAAGAGGAACAAAGAAACTTCCAAGAGGAATCAGAGAACTGACAAGAAACAGAGCTGACAAGATTGGAGAATTCTTACGAGGACGAGCTAGAGAAGTTCCACTGTTATGCCAGGGAGGCAAATTGGAGTATGTAAAGGATAATGATGCAGAGGCTTTGAGTAACTTCTCTCCAGGCCTGTCAAGAAGATGAGCAAACAGGGCTCTATTGCAGCCTCTGTAATGTAAGTCAGATCAGGAGGTTAAGCAGGCATTGGAGAGAGGTTATACTGTCTCCTTTCCTGGACGATTTTTAAGATGGAGACAATTGTCATTTGTTTGAACTAAACCTCCTAGAAACAGAGAGGTACCCATTATGACCTTTAGAGAGGGGTCAGTGGCTCCAGCATGAAGAAGATCTGCCAGGCCAGGCGATGCAAGGTGGGGCAGTGGCACCGGACACCACCCAGGGACAGAGCGCAGCTGCTGGCAAGCCCAGCCAAGGGCACACTGATAGCGTTACCCTCGGAGAGTGAGAGAATCATAGAGTTGGAAAAGGCCTTTGGATTACCTGCTCCAAACTCCTCATTTTACAGAGGAGGAAACTGAGACTCAGAGAGCAGAATGACTTATTAGAGGTCACCCTGCCAGTTAGTGACAGGGCCAGGACCAGGACCTGGATTTCCAGACTCCTGATCCAGGGCTCTTCACTCCACAATACTATCAAGCATTAGCAAAATAATGTGAACACAACTCTATTCTATAAACACTGGATGCAGGACTGGGATGTGAATTAGCTGTCTTCTAGGTGCTTAATATCCAAGATACCAAATCGCAAAGAAACGTACAAAAAGTGAACAATTAACAGAATAAGCTCACTGCTTAATACAAATGATTATATCGTGCACAAGCCAATGGTAAGTGCACAGGAAATGAGCCCTGAACAGATAATGTGGGAGGATCAGAGACTCCAATTTCTCACCTCCTTCTAACCAAAGTGTGTATCCTCAGAAAGAAATTAGAAAATCATAGGATGAGGGAATTTCATGTCATTCAAGGCAGGAGGTTTAGTAAAATGTGATGAAAGGTGAAGAGGAAAACAATTCATGTGATCTGAAACGCCTCTGGTTCTTAACACTGAGAAATGGCAGCAGCAACGGATTATAAAGGGAAACACCACTGGGGAAAAAGCAGAGGCTGATAAGGCAAGTTGAGGATACTTTTCTCTGGGCTTGAGCCAGGACTGCCATCATCAACCCAGCCAGCACAGTTGCCAAAGGAAAGGTGCCTTTGGGGGAGAGGAGTTAGCTGGCAGTACACAGCAGCCGGGCCCCTGCCCCCTTGGCCCCTCGGAAGGCTTGGCAGAGGTTGTCCCCTCTAGCTATACCTCCACTGAGGCAGGAAGCCATTGGAAGTTAGCAAGAAGGTAATGGCAAGATTCATTGATGGCTTCAAAGGAGAAATGGAAAGAATTCCATGCACTCCTGATCTAGATTGGTGCAGGGAAATCTATTTCTAGGGTGCCTCTCCCTTGGGGAGGAAATTCAAGTCCAACTTTGAGATAGAAGTTTCCAAAGCCTAAATTGCTTTGTGTTAGTCATCATCTTAAGGAGGCTACCTGTGGTCTCCAGTGTCACATCCGATGGGGAGACCTGGAAACTGCCCATTTCTCCCTCTTCATCTCCCTCCCAGGTACCAGTCAAAGTCAACCTTATTCATTTGGCTATTTGGTCCAGCACGCTGTGCAGTGAACACAGCACCCTGAGGCTGGGAGACCAAAGGAAGCCATGGGTCCCCGGCCCGGAGGGACTTGATCAAAGGGACTCCTGGCCCTCCGCCCGCCCCCATATCTGCACCGGCTGAGAGTCAGAGGGTGGTTCTGAAGTGATAGACCTTGGCCAGCTGAGACCTTCTGACTCTCAGAGGGGCTTCACTCTCCCTCAGCTCTTTGCTATTTTCGCCTTCGGGTCCTGCGGCTCCTACAGTGGGGAAACAGGAGCAACGGTTCGCTGCAACAACGAAGCCAAGGACGTGAGCACCATCCTTGTTTCGTTCGGCTATCCCTTCAGGTGAGCAGGAGTTGATTCTGACCCCGCATAGCCTCTCTCATTGGATTGGCAGGACCTGCTTGGTCTCTTTCTCCTCCAGAAACCTAAAGACCTTTTGTTGTGTGCCACTCCAGTTTCAGATAGAATTACAAGGCTCAGGTCCTTCCTGCCCTTTAGGAATTTCAGACACACTGGCCAGAGAAAAATATAAGGGAAACTCAAATAGATCCCTGTTATAATAATGTTGCAGTCCATGGATAACCAATAGCAGGTAACAACAGCTCTTACAGAAAGAACCTATGCAGTGTGGGGTGGAGGCTTCTCGACCCTCAGCAGCCTCCTCCCTGCCTTGAAGGTAAGGAAGCTTGTCAGTACTCAGGTCCTGAAGAGCTGATGGGGGATGCTCACCAGTACCACCAGAATACAAGGGGGTATACCTTGGCCGGGAGGTAGAAGACAATACTCTTTCCTGAGTGTTTGGGAGCTTAGAGAAGGGAGAGCCCAAGTGTTCAGAGGGGAATGGGGACAGCGCTCAGCTTTTCAGAAATTTCTAGTAGCAGCAGCCAAGTTAGATTAGCTGTCTCTTGTTCATAATAGGGTATTTGTTTTTCTCTCTTGATTTTGTCCAGTGTGGTCTCATTGGGGGACCTAAATAAAGCCTGAGAATGGGTGATTCCAATCTTAACTTGGCCACTGTGGACCTGTGCTTTCCCAGGGACAGAATGAAGCTGATTTCCCTGGTGGTTTGGCTACCAGAAATAGATGAACTATATATACTGTGGTTACAATCTAAAGGGTCGTGGAGATACGTGGAAATACAGGGTCACCGTATCTGGGCAGGGTGGATGAGTGTGGGGTGGTGGCTGAGAGGGAGGTAGAGTTTGACCAGAATTCCAGGAAAATTCCTGTTCTGACTGCAAGGTTCCCTCCAGAAACTTTCCTCCCTACCTGCCCCTTTCTTGGTTCTGTAAGAGTCCTTGGGTGAGAACTAGTGCAGGACTGCTCCTGGGGCAGGGGAAGCCCACTGCCTCCACAGGGAGAGGATCGCCCTGAGCTCAGGGTGGGCTCCGTGCCACCTGCAGGTTGAACCGGGTCCAGTATGAGATGCCCCTCTGCGACGATGAATCCACCTCCAAGACCATGCATCTCATGGGGGACTTCTCTGCCCCCGCCGAGTTCTTCGTGACCCTGGGCATCTTTTCCTTCTTCTACACCATAGCTGCACTCGTCCTCTACCTGCGTTTCCACAACATCTACACGGAGAACAGGCGCTTCCCCCTGGTGGTGAGTGGGCACAGCCAGGAGGGATGGGGTGGAGGCACTGAGGAGACATACGTTTCCGGGCTGAGGACAAACATGGTGGCTTTCCTGGGTCCCTGACACTCGGATGTGAACCTCCTCAATTTCCCTGCCAGCTCTTTGCTGCTGGTCCCTTCGGGTGCTGGGGCTGCCACAGGTCCTCGGGCCAGTGGAAGGCCCATGTCCCAGGACTCTGCGTCTACCAGCCTCCCATCGCTTGCTCTACTCAAAGTAGGCACAATAGCTTCAAGAAGCAGGCGCTGAAGTCTGATTGCTTGGGTTCAAATCCCAGCACTGTCCCTTACTAGCTGTGTGCTCTTGACAATTTCCTTAACCTCTCTAACTCTCAGTTTCCTCAACTATAAAATGGGAATAAAATAATAACTATCTAATAGTGTTTTGGAAAGATAAAGTGAACATGCATGTAAAATACCTGGTGTATAGTTAGCCTCCATAAGTGCTAGCTATTATCAATATTATTTCCCCTTTACTTTCTCCCTATCCCAGGCATGCAAGGTGGAAAGGGTGCCTTAGGGGACCCCTTTTATCTCCTGCAGTCTGCCCTCACTCTGCCACCACTTGTAACTGAGCACTGGTGATCAAAGGAAAGGCTGGGCGTGGGGAGAGTGTCAAGTTTAGGCCACGTGGGTTTAGGGATGACACTGACCAACAGATGCCTGGGCACATTGTTACCTGACCTCAGTTCTGAGGGCATGGGCAGGGGTAGCCCTGGCTGGCGGGATTCTCTTGGTGGCAGATTCCCTAGGATGATCTGAGTTCCCTGAAACTCTAGGTGTTGGGTAGGATAGGAAGAGGCAGCTGTCCTGGGACCCCAATATCCCAGTGCCTTATGGCAAGACGAAAAGAAGTACAGAATCATGGGGGCCTTTCTGATTGTATTTCCTGTCCCTCTGCTCCTCCCAGGACTTCTGTGTGACTGTCTCCTTCACCTTTTTCTGGCTGGTAGCTGCAGCTGCCTGGGGCAAGGGCCTGACTGACGTCAAGGGGGCCACACGACCATCCAGCCTGACAGCAGCCATGTCTGTGTGCCATGGAGAGGAGGCGGTGTGCAGTGCCGGGGCCACGCCCTCCATGGGACTGGCCAACATCTCCGTGGTGAGACCTGTGGCCACTGAAGGGGTCTGGGGAAGGCAGCACACTCCCAGCTGCCCAGGCCTGTCACAGCAGGGTCTGAGAGGGACAGAGAGGGTGTCTTCACAGCTGCCCTCCCCGGCACTGGCAACCAGTGCTTCCGCTGAACCTAATGCTGGCTGCTGGCCCCTGGCTGACCCTGAGGGACATTTGGGCAGGGGGAACCCAAGAGCCACTCAGCCTCCTGTGCCTTCCTCCTTCCGCCCTCTGCCTCCCATTTCCCTCTCTTCTCCCCACCTCCAGGCGTGCTCTTTGTGACTGCCTCTCCCTCCTCCTGCCTCTTTACAGTCTGTGTGAATGTACACACATGAGCAGGTGGAGGGGGAGCCTAGGGCTGTGACGGGGCTCAAAGCGGGGGAGGGGGGGCAGACCCAGAGTGGGTGAGAAGGGGCTTATTGTCACTCAGGCCTCCAGGCTGGAAAAGGTCTTTGGGCAGTGGTGGGTCTAGCTGGTATGCATGTATTTGGCCACCCCAGCTGTTAGAACATTGAAACATCTCCATATTAGTTGGTAAGTAGCTGAGCTTTGCAAATGCCCTCCTGTCAGCCCAGCCGCCTCAGCCCTGCCCTGAAAATGGCCTGAACCTTCCCCGGGCCCAGCAACTGAAAGGTTTAATGGCTGGCACACCAGGGAGCCTTCTAGACCTTGCTGGAACCCTGCTGATAGGTGTTAGCCCCACAGCCTTTTACTGTAAAAATGTTCACACATTCGGCAAAGTTGAAAGACTTTTACAATGAACAGCCACGCACTCATCAGCTAGACTGTACCATTAACATTTTACTAGACTTGCTTTGTCCTGTATCTATCTGCCTCTCTTCATCTATTGATCCATCTTATTTTTAATGCATTTCAAAGTTTATTGCAGACATCAGTACACTTCCCCCTAAATACTCCCTGCTGATAGGTTTTTAAATATTTTGAATAAATATTTGGATAGAGCTGGCTGGGTCGCTACCCTAGGGAAGGAGCACCTTGGACAGCTCTGGCCCCACCCACCCTGACAAGGCCTTCGGAAAATGGCCTGCGGACGCTGTGGGAAGTGCCACTAGAGCCCTTGCTCCTTGCTGTGCTTTGCACGGTGCTCCACTCCAGGAGCCAGGTTCTCCTAGCGACCAAGCCACAACTTGGGTGCATGCTGTGGACAGAGTTAGACACTTTCACCAGAGAATCCCTTAGTGGGTGGTGGCCTTAAACCCTGACTCTACATCCAGTTCTCTTTTAGTCTTTCTAGCTCTCTGCACCTCCCCCTCCCCCCAACACACAGGTACTCCCCCTCCCTGTTCCCAGGATGCCCTCCTATTCTCATAAGCCACCCTCCCTCTGATGTCTTTGCAGCTCTTTGGCTTTATCAGCTTCTTCCTGTGGGCCGGGAACTGTTGGTTTGTGTTCAAGGAGACCCCGTGGCACGGGCAGGGCCAGGACCAGGGCCAGGGCGCCGGCCAGGAGAGCGCAGCTGAGCAGGGAGCGGTGGAGAAGCAGTAAGCGGCCCCCACCCGGCTACTCCCGAACAGGACAGCGCCTTTTCAACCGCCTCTGGCTTCCAGGACCTCCTCTTCTTCCTCCCCCCAACTCCCCTCCCCCATTATTCTGGGCTCTGAGCTTTGAGACGTCTTCACTGGATGGGCAGGCATCAGCTGTCGGAAACCTGGGCAGCCCTCCCAGTGGCTTCCTATCCCTCCTCTTGCTGGAGCCCTGGATGGCAGGAGCTCAGTGCTTCTTATCTACTGCCTGGACCCAGGCATCTTACTTGGGGTCTTACGTATACCCTCACAGCCTTTGAGAACCAGCCTCTGCTACAGGCAAAGGTTGGGGTCAGGAGACCTGAGACTGGTTCCTAGCTGCCACTTCTATCAGTCTGTCCAGCGTCAATAAAAGTGGGGGGAGGGGAAATTGGCTGGCAGCCTTCTCCCTGCCCCCTTGCATGGAGGGCCCACCAGTGGTTTAGTGACCCCTCTTCAATGGCTGTCATCAAGGCCCCGTGTCTGCGCTGACCTCCAATCTGCCTGAGCTCATTATGCTCCCCACCCTCTCCTCTGCCTCCTCTGGCCTCTGTTTGCCCACAGAGCCCATCACGTGGGAACCCAGGAGGCGGACTAGCCTAGAAAACAGCCTTTCAGAGGGTCCCAAATAGGCTGAGACTTGGTGGGGAGCAGATAAATTGCAACTGAGTTGCAACTTAAAGAAACAGAAGCCAGAAAACTTGCTGGGGAATCAGTTTTTTTTAAATTCCCTTAGTCCTTCCACCCCTCCAGGCTGGGGCACTTCCACCAACACTCTAAACTCATACTTGCCCTAGAAACTCCTTACCTTCCTCCCTGTCCTCCTACTTGGGCTTGGTCTCACACTTGGGACACAAGATGAGGGGTCTAGGAGCATCTCCATTTCAGCCCTCCCCGCCTCCCACCTCTCTGTTCCTCTCCCTTCCCCAGCCTCTTGGGTCTGAGGCATTCAAGATCCTTTTCAAAGTCTGTCCAGGCCTTCCTTTCATTCCTGTAGGGCCAGATAGGGGCTCTGAAAGGGTAATAAAGGACCATCATGAGTCTAAGTTGCCCCAGAGCCCCAGGACATGGATGGATGGGCCCATTTCTTCCTCACTCTCTGCTCGTTTTTTTCCCGCCCTGCTCCTTCTCTGGCCCATTTCATACTTCCCCTTCTCACCTTTACGAAAGAACATGCCCTCTCCATTTGCCCGCCATTCCTCCCCTGCTTCCGCATCTGTTCCAAGCTCTGTCCCCACTACACACCCACCCCAGTCCAGGGCAGGCTGATGCTCTTGGTGCTTCTTCACTTCGGGACCCAGTTCCATATTTGTCTTTGGTGTGTCTCCCCTTCCTGACACCTCCTCAGTCCCTCTGCGGACCCCAGGGCCCAAGAGTCAGTGCTGACTGGATAAGGGCCATCTGTCTCCCATCCAGCTCAAAACATTTCAGTCTGCCCTGGCCATAGGGCTGCCCAGGGAAGAAGGAAGAAGGCAGAATCCAGCCATTTTCCAATCCAGTGCCAATTAGCCCAGATGTAATCCCAAAGGTAAATGTGCCCTGTGCCAGTCTCTCCTCAGGACTGAGTCAACCCCTCCAACCTCCTCACCTTCCTCAGCACCCTCCATTGTAATGTGTGCATTACTGGGGTACCTAGGCGGCAGGACCTTTGACTTCGGGCCAATCATTTCTTCTTTGGGTCAGTTTCCCCACGTGACAGGGGAGTGTGAGGTTTACATCTTCAAATGCTCCAGAGTCCTTCAGTGAAAAATCAGGTGTTTTGTTTTGTTTTTTAGATTTGGGGGAAGGCATTTGAGGAGGGAAGGTAGGAGATGGGGATAAGGGTGTTTCTAAGTCTGAACCTCTCTGTCCTGAGCTGTCCCCATGATTACTCAAGGACAAGGGGAGACAGTTTTGCCCACAGCTATAGAGACACAGAGAACAAAGGGATGACCTTCAGTTTTCTTCAAGCTGGCCCCTGTGAGGGTCTGTGAGCAGCTTCTACTGGAACTCTGTTTGGATTCTGTGTACGTATTTGTAATTTATCTGAAATGTGATGGATAAAGTATTCTCATTTGGGGGCCTAAGTTACTAATTGGCCCTTCAGCTAGGGAAAGGGGGTGGGTGGGTATGCACTCCTGCCAAGGACTCCTAGCCCAGAACTCTGCCTAGAGCAGAGAAGGCTCTTTCTCCTCTTCAAGAGGCTGGCTTGTTCTCAGCCTGAAGAGCCTGGATTTAGGCTATGGCCTCTCTCTCCATAGCCACCCTAAGAGGAAAGGCTACTTCACCTCATAACCTTCAGAGGGCTGGGCTGGGTCAAATGCTGAGTGCGCGGCTGTCCTCATAGGACTCATGTCCCCTCCAACTAGGGCTGGCATCACCACTTTGCCTAGTGGGTCCTGAGGTAGAAGGTGCTGGTTTCTCCAGTTGCCGCAGGAGGCCAACAGGCAGGGCACTTGCCCTTTGCCCTAGTAAATTCTGACCCTGCCAGGGTGCCCACCTAGGACCTTTCCTGAACATGAGTTCCCTCCACTATCATGGTCATAGGTATCCTTCTTCTGGGATTGAAGATCAGGGGTGGGGGGAGAATGTTGCATGTTGTTTTCTGGTGCTTGTTATTATACATTTGAATAAACAGTGCTTCAAGCATTTGCCATGAAGGAGCCGAGAATGTAGCCCTTCTGGGGACCTTTTTCCTCCTCCTCCCCTTGCTTTAAGTTCTTGGACAAATATCAGCACTTCCGCCAAAACATCATTCCGCTCCCCTCCACTCTGCACTCCCAGCGATAGAGTCTGCACGCTGAGGAGCTGTTCCTGGCGGACCCCAGTCTGGCAACATCTCCTCTTCTGGTGGCACCAATTAGTCCAAAGTAACTGAGACTCATTAGTAAATTTAGAGCAAACTCAGAAGGCGAGAGATATTGGCTTCCACAATGCTGTTTCCACTTACTCTCCTACCATCTGTGACCTAGACAGGCTTCCTGTCAGGAGTTGAGGGCCACGTGCTTTGCCCTTTTAACTATAAAGGTTCTTGCTGAACAGACTTGCACCTCTATGCCCCTTCTGACAAACAGTCACAGGCTACATTTACATTCCCTAGAAAAATACACTTGGGCACAATATTACGTTCAATGTCACCAGTTTCCCACTCCCCCTAGGAATCATCCATGGTTCTCAGGTTAAGAATCTCTACCCTCAGAGATTATCCTTGAAGTACTTAAACCTTCCCTGGGTGAAAATGAGACAGTCTGAGCTCTTGAAGTCACAGACCTTGACTTATTTGCCTCCAGTTTGGTTTCCCCTTAGATGAAAGAATGAATATATGTGGTGAGGTGTAAGGGGTTGAGGAGGGAAAAGAGAATTAGTATCTCTTTTCTGATGTGATGGGGTTGGGGGGCAGGCTTTTGTCTCTTGATTATGTGAGGGTGGGAGGGAATGTTATCAGCTGAGAAAAGAGAAAGAGGTGGATGATTAAGGTGTTTTCCAGGCCTTAGCAAGGAAAATGACAGATCTGATGAGAAATCTCCTTGTGCCCAGGCTCTGATAGCAGCCCTGCCAGCAGAGAAAATATTCGTTAGAAAAAGAAGCCAAAGGGATGGATGGAGTCAGGGTCCAGCCAGGGTTTGGGAAGAGGCGGTACAGGGTATCGATCGCAGTGCTCATGAGGAGAGAGACGGATCAGCAGAGATGCTGCAAACACCAGCAGCCTCGGGGCCACCCCAGTTCCGGGGCTGGCTCTGGCTCGGAGATAGCCTTCTGTCATCCTGACAGGTGATCCCGGTCAGCTCAGCTAGGTCCTCCCAAACCCAGACAACGCCACTTCAACCCTCTGCTCTGCGTCAGGGCAGCGTGGGTTTGCCACACAGGAGGCACAACCCGAGAGTTGAGGACCCTCCCCCCACTCCAACCCCTGTGTCCTTCAGCACATCCTACAGACCCCCTCCCTTTGCCCTTCTGATTCACAGCGCCCACCTCCCTGCACCTACCGCATTCGATCTACGGGGAAGCGAAGTCGCTTCGTGGCCGCCAGCCCGGGAATGGGCGCCAGCCAGCTGGCGGAGGCACGGTTTAAAGGGGCATCTTGGGCAGAGAGAGGTTTGGGACTGGGGTTTGTGTGCAGCGAACTTAAGAGAGTGGGCTGGTAGCACAAAGAATGGGTTCACAACGGTTAGGAGCAGAGGTCCTGGGGCTTTGGTCTCTTTTTCCCCCACAATTGTGCATTTTGGAGGGGCTCTCTCGTCAAGCTCAGTAGGCAACCTCACCACCTCTAAGCCTACGTTTCCCAGAAGGCTATGCGGCAGGGAGAGTGAGGGGAAGGCAACCAGTGCTGCGCTTGCGCAAAGAGTGAGCTGGAAAGGTGGGAGGGAGAGGGGAGGCGTGCCCGCGGCAGGGATGGGGGGAGGGGGCCGCGCAGCGGCGGCGCCGGGGCGGGCGCGCGTCCGCGGCGGTGATGGCGGTGCGTGAACGCGCGGCGGCAGCAATGGCCGCTCTGGAGCGGCGGGTGCCGAGTCTCGATGACTTCGCGGGACAGAGCTGGAGCTCGTGGGTGGAGCGGGCCGAGCTGCCCGCAGCCGACGGTGAGTGAAGCACCCCTAGAGTCTGAAGACCCCATCACTGTCTCCCCTCCCCCCTTCCGGGCCCCCGCCAACAGAGGGGAGCTGCCGACGGGAGCCGCCGTCCGGCTCCCCGGCCCCCCAAACAAAGGACCCGCCGGGTCCTAGTGCCCGCCCGCTCCTCCACCTTCGCGCCTCCGGGTCCTAGCGCCGGCTTTTCTCCAGCAGCCCACCCTGCCCACCTCTGCCTCTGCCGTTGCCCAGTACCTGCCCCCACATCTGCTTGCTTTTATGTTTCTTCTCGCCTGCTGTCCTCCAGCTTCCGCCCCTTCTGCACCTGCCTCAAGCTTTCCCCATCCGCAACAGTCCTCTCCACGTGTTTCCCACGCACCCCACTTCTGTGCCCCCCTCCCAACCCCCCTTGTTCCTTCGCCTTCTGCCCTACACCTTTTGCTCCTTTTCGGTGTTTGCCTGTCGGCTGCAGTGCCACTAGACCCCCGCCTCCTCCGCATTAGTTCGTCGGTCCATCCATCCATCCATCCTCCCTTCCTTCCTCCTCCGTCCATCCATACATGCCTCCAACCCTCCGTCCTTTCCCGGGCCTCTTGCCCTGCCTCCCGGGCTCTCTCCCTTGACCCCACCTTCTCTAGGCCCCTGAGTGCTTTTGGTGAGCGGGCTGACAGCCCCTTCTCCTGATCTTTGTCTCCTGGGCCCCAGGGGGCATCTGGCCTCGTGGCCTTTGGGGTGACAGCAGGCATCACACCCCTGAAGAAGTTTGCAAGTGAGAAGAGGTGGAGGAGGAGACCACATGGAGCGGTCTCTGATGACACTTGTTCTCCTCTGAGACGTCCAACTCCCAGCTCAGTTCTGTCCATCACTGCATTTTAATGGACTTAAGAGTGGGAGCTGCCCCTTGTTTCTTGCATGCCTAACCCACCACCCCTCATATCTGGAGATTATATAAGACTGTCAGTATTCTTCTCATTCTAGAAAGGTGCACGTCTGTTAGTAGGTGTCAGAAGCAGACCTAAGTGGGAGCCTCAGGCCACCCCAGAACTGCCCCATGCTGGGTGGGCAAGGATGGGGCCATTGTCAGGGTCTGGGTGCATTGAGAACCGGAAATGGAATCAGACGGGTTTGGTGACTCAGAATTGATTTTTTTTCCAAGGGACAGGGAGGGGGCGTAGAGGAGGGAGGGGAGAGGAGTAAGATAGGGGGATGGGGAAAGAGCTACTTTGCACAGCTAAAACGTTTTTGTCATCAACCCAGAAACTGAGGTACAAGGGCAACCCTTGCCCAAACCCCCTCTTAAGAGGAAAAGGGCTTGCATAGCTGATCAAGGGGACTTTGAAGATGCTGAAGGGCCCTAAGACAGCAGTTTCTCTCCTCTGTGGCCATCCTATCAGTGCAGGACCTGAGAAGCTAGGTGTAACTTTGACAATGCCATGGCAACACAGGTGGAACAAAATTGGGGATGGGGACCTAGGAGATTATCTGTTTGGGATGCCACAGAAAAGCAGAAAGGACCTGTCTGAGAAATCTCAAGAAGGGACTCAGGGATCTGTAGTAAAATATGTTAAGGACTGTTTCCCGTTTAAATGGGGAAGCAGGCCCAGAAAAGAGATAATTACCCATAGTCACCCAACTAGTCAGCAGTGGAATCCTGAACTGTACCTTGGAATAAAGGATCCATAAGAAAGGTGGCTGGATCCCTCCTCATGGGGCCAGCTCATTCCAGAGGTAGCAGGTGAAGGAAGAATGGGCACTTGAGAAAGATCCACTGAAAGGTTCTCCAAGTGGTCCTGAGCACCAGGTGCTTGTCGAGTAGTGAGAGCTTCCTCCTGCTTGGCCCCAGGACCTGGTCGGACGGGAGATGGGGCTTCTGGGATGGGAGTGGTCCTTCTGAGCTGTGTTTCTCCTCCAGGGGCTGAGTTGGAGGAGAGTAACAAAAACCTGAAGAAGTTGGATGCCATGACCCTCATTAAAGAAGGTGCGAGTTGACACATGCTGGGGCTGGGGCCCAGGGCAGACAGGACCACCTTCCCTTCCTCCACCACAACCCAGGAGGTGGCTGCCTGAAGCAGCAGGTCTGGGGATTCTCACTTTGTTAGGTCTGAGTCAGCCTGTTCCCCTGGCTCCTGTGACTTATTGAGGGAGATCCTAATCATTGGTGTTTGGTGCCCACTCACCTGAAAGCCCACATTCTTAGGGACTGGTTAGATTGAACTCTGGAAGCTGGAAGCATCCAATATAAAGCTTGTCATATCAGCTGGGAGGGGAAGTATCATCTGAGTGGTGGGTGGGAGTGTTCTCTGATCTTACAGGGAAAATCTGGTGTCCTCAGCTCCAGTGATAAGGGCTTCTGTCATTGCAGACATGTCCATCTTCGGGCACTGCCCTGCCCATGACGACTTCTATTTGGTTGTATGTAACCATTGCAGCCAAGTGGTGAAGCCTCAAGCTTTCCAGAAGCACTGCGGTGAGGGGAGCCCTCGGGAGGAGATAGAGGGGACAGGGGAAGGTGGAACATGGAACTCTGAGGACAGGGCCAATTGGGAGGTCATGTGAGTAATGGAGGGAGGCTTTGGGAATAAGAAGGTGGAGGCGGGGAGCTTCACAGATTGTGGTTGGTTGGGGTTATTGTTTAAGCAACCTTTTAGCATCTGGTGGAGTAAAGTTCTAGCGTCTGGGAAGAGCTAAGAGGTTCAGGAAGCTGATTTCTAGAATTTTGAGTCTTGAAGGCTCAAATTCAAATGGGAAGGAGGCAAATTTAAAATCTAAGCTTTGGAAACCCCAGGTTCTCTATCATGAGTCTGTGAGCAGGGTTAGGAGGTTGGGGAAGGAGACAGTTGATGCCACTCACCTCGATTGCTTTCTCCACCTCCTGGTGACAGAAAGAAGACATGGGCCGCTCAGCAAGCTTTACGCCCGGGCCCCACCCCCACCTCCAGCCCCTGCCAGCTCTCAGAAATGCCATGTAGTGAACGGTCAGGGCCCAGCTTGTAGGGCCCCAGGTTCCAGCAAAACCTCCTCCAGGGAGAAGGGCCAGGGGTCCCGGAGCCGTGGCCACCAGCCTCCAGAGAAGACCCAGAAGGACAACCTCTGGTAAGGAAAGGCTGGAGGCTCCCTGAGACAAGCCCTGACCCTAGCCCAGGGAGGGGTTGGCACACATGGAGGCAGCTGTGGGGCGATGGGCACTGCTCACTGCAGGAGGCGGCCATCTCTCTCTGCAGCTCCCTTCTACTCGCTCCAGGGAATATGGGGTCCCCTTTTCCCATGTTCTGCACCCCTGCAGGAGCCCACCCAAGTTCCAGGGCTGGGAAAGGAGATGGCTCTGGGCTAGAGTCTGGGGCCCAGGCCCAGCCTCCCTACCTCCCAGCCTGCACCCTCTCTCCATGTGTAGCCTTTTCGTGCCTGTGGTGAATCTGGAAAAGATGTCCAGTCTCCCGAAGCCTGATGGACACGGAATCAGGGTGGCTCCGCCCTCTGCTTTCCTCAGCCAGCCGGCTGGCCTCACCAAGGACTCCCCTGGAAAAAACCCCATGGCATCCCCTTCTAAAGAACTTCCTGGCAGAGGGAGCATCGAGATAACCCCCAGCGAGGGCTCCAGTCACCGGGCTGAAGGCAGCCCGTCTGAAAAGGAGCCTGGTGGGGCCAGGCTGCCCCCTAAAACCCACCGGAAGATGGCTCGTGAGTAGTCGTGGTCTTAGGGTCAGGAAGGTAGAGTGGGGACTCCTTTGGACTGCTTTGTCCTTGGGCCTGATGGAGAGGGGGTCAGGAAAGGGTGGGCTTGGCCATCACAGCGTGCCAGGATACAGGAGCCCCTGGTCATCCCTTGACGTGGACACTTACTTGACCTGCTTGCTCTCTTGGAAGATTCTCTTCAGCCCAGGTCTCCTGATTAAGGCCATGGGAGCCTGTGCCCAAGAAGGTGAAGGTATTTTTCCTCACCTTGGGCTGTTGAACTTTATCTCTTTTCTCGTCTAGATCCAGGGCACCAGAAGCCTCCCATAGCTGGTTTCCCTGGCATCCCAGATGCCTGTAGCTGCTTTTGTTTCCTGGTACATGTTGCCCTGTTTGAGACTTGGGGCCCCCAAAGGAGTGCCGGGGCTGGCATGGGGACGGGATGGTTCTTACACCCAGCAGAGAGCTGCTGTTGCCCAGAGGAGTATCTCTGGAAGGCTGCAGCCCCAGACTTGAGGCCCAGAGGCTCTCCAGCCTTTGGCCTGAAGACGCCAGACCCTCCCAGAAATGGCCTTGGGGTTCATGGGAACCGCTTTCCCCACAGGGAAGGAGTGCGACCTCAACAGGCAGTGTGGGGTAATAAATCCAGAGACCAAAAAGATCTGTACCCGCCTGCTGACCTGCAAGGTAACCCCCAGTCCCTCTGCACAGACACGGGCCCTGGGCAGGGAGAGCAAGTGAGATCTCATCCAAGATCCAGCTGAAGGGATGGGGGTTAAGCCCAGACCAGGCAAGGGGAGGGGAGGCTCTCCATACTGGGCCCAAGGTGGGGACAGCGGGCAGGGGGTGGCTTCCAGATCCCCCTCTCCAGAGGAGGGTTCTGGCCCTGTCAGGAAGTGAAACAAGGACACACAGACACACCCACACTCACACGCCCAGTCTCTTCACTTGCCCAGGCCAGAGCACACCGCTGCCCCTTACCTCTGCTCAGCTCCTCCCCACCCTCCCCCCTGCTGTGTTCTAGATCCACTCCGTGCACCAGCGCAGGGAAGTCCAGGGCCGAGCCAAGGACTTTGATGTGCTGGTGGCAGAGCTGAAGGCCAACTCCCGCAAAGGGGAGTCTCCCAAGGAGAAGAGCCCAGGGCGCAAGGAGGCAGCTCTTGAGCGCCCCTCCCAGGAGCCCCCCTCCTCAGTCCAGGTTGTGGCAGCAGTGGCTGCTCCCAGCAGCACCTTCTCTGCTCGTGCCAAGCAGACCTACCCATACTGTGCACTGCCCAGGTACGTCCAGGATCCAGCGCCCATCTTACCTGGGGACACTTGGCCCCAGGCCATCAGGAACCCCTTCAGGCCCAGGGAGTGCCCTGGAAGATGCTGCTCACTCCACCCTGAGTGTGTGGGGAGGGGCCCCTGGCGGTGGTGTGGAGGTGGGTGACTCCCTGTTCCTAACCCGGCATACCGCAGTACCCCAGGCACTCTGTAGTGTTCCAACACCGAGGAAAAACCATTTTCCCAGCTGCTTCCAACAGGCCAAAAGTGGTAATTGGGGAGCCGAAAGAGTCAGGGTCCTGGGTGAGGCAGTCCTACTGTGTATTAATTCACTGGCCCCTTCGTGTGCAGAGGCTGCGCTGGAACCTGGGGAGAGCCTGCCTTGCGGAAGGAGACACACATGCATCTCTGCCTGTAACATAGGCTCAGCTCAGATAGGCTCACAGGAATATGTGATGCAAGAAGGGGGTTGACTGGGCTGACCAGAGTTGGGTGCAGTTATACTCAGATTTTCTGGAGGAGGCGAATGTGAAGCAGATTTTCCCCCTGAGGAGGCAGGGCCAGGGAAGTGAAGGGGCTGGGGAGAAAACCCCTTGGGAGCTGTGGCCCCTGATCTTTCTGGCTCTTACTCTGTGAGCTCTGTTGTTCCCTCCCTTCCTGTCCTCCTTCCTCTTTGTCTGATCGCCCAGCAGGGTGTCTGCCCTGACTTTTTGAGCTTGGCAGGTTCAGGGACACACCTACCGTGACCCACTCTCATCACATCACCCTCACATCCCCTTTGGCCCTTCCAGGTCCCGGGCCTCCTCTGAGAGTGAGTTGGATGATGAAGGCCCTTGTGGTGGTGATGGGGACCCAGGCCTGTTCCCCTTCCCCCTGCCCCGGGGTGGTGCCCAGGCCTCCAGCGAGGAGAGTGAGGAGGAGGGGACATCTGATGACCTCCACCTACCCACTGACTGCCATTATGCAACCCGGCCCCCTCGGCCGCAGGCGGTAAGGACCTGGGGCAGGGACCTGGGGGTGGGGAGCCAGTCCTCCTGGCCCACAATGTGGGGAGGAGGTCAGATCCTACATGAAGGTGCCCTCCCTGTATTTCAGGCCCCTTTAACCATGTGCCTTCCTTCTGCCTCCAGTTCTGCACCTTTGGGAGCCGGCTGGTGAGTCCAGGATGCTACGTGTTTAGCCGCCGGCTGGACCGGTTCTGCTCGGCACTGAGCTCTATGCTGGAACGGCACCTCAGCTCACACATGTGGAAGTGAGTCTCTCAGCCCCAGAACCTCCCTTCCCAGGCCCCAGGCATACACGGGCTTCAGAACCCCTAATTCGTCACACATACCTGTAGATGTGGCTTGGCTGTTTGCCAGGAAGACCCCAGGTAGGGTGAACAGGAGGTGGGGAAACTTGGCAGCCTGGAGCTGGGCTAAGGCAGGGCCTGAATGGGTCGCCTGGGAGTGAATCTTAACTCTCACCAATCACTCCCAGTACCTTTTGGGTAAGTAGGGATAGGGGATGTCCAGCCTGAGATTTAAAGTGAGGTTTTTAAAGGGTCTGTATATTAGTTCATTCCTGCCTTTCCCTGTGCCTTCTTCCTATCCCTGAGTTCCAGCGTTTCCCAGCAGAGGGCGGCACTGCCAGGGCTCTGTGGGCCATTTCTACGTGGGTGGAAAGACTTGTGTGTTGGTGGGGAGGCCCTCTTGCTTGCTTGGCATCACAGTGGGGCTCTCTTCTTGCTGCAGGAAGATCCCCCCGGCAGCTGAGCCTCCATCCCACCTTGTCAGCTCCCCGCCATCTGCTCCCCTGAGCCCATCCTCTACGGGCAGCTGCCCCCGCCTTCCAGGCCCACCCCCCAGACCTGCCTGCCCAGCCTCCACGCCCCCCACCAAGGACAGCCTTGGCCCTGGCTACCCTGCAGGCTCCCCCAACGTGGCAGCCGCCTGCAGCCAGGCGGAGTGCATGGGTGGGAGCCAGGCTATCACCTCACCACTGCCTGCCAACACACCTTCCCCGTCCTTCAGCAAGCTCCCACCTTCCAAGGCCAGCAAGTCATCCAAAGGCAAGGACGGGCTCGAGGTGGAGGCTCCTTCTCGAAAGCGAAAGTTATCCCCTGGGCCCACCACTTTCAAACGGACCTGCGTCCTGGAGCCCACTGGAAAAGGCAAACCCTCTGGCTGCCGGGGCCTCTCGGCCAAGACTAAAACAGGCCTGGGCATGGGGCTTAATGGGACGGTGGAGCCAAGAGTGAAGCGGGCAGGGCCCCTGGACTGTCGGGGTTCCCCTCATCAGCCCCCCACGCCAGTCAAGGCTTCTCAGCTGGACAACCAGGGAGCGGCTGGACACCCGGCCAAGGCCCTGCCGACCAACTGCCTCTCTGAGGAGGAGGTAGCCAAGAAGCGGAAAAACCTGGCCACTTACTGCCGGCCAGTGAAGGCCAAGCACTGCCAGGCTGGTGCCCCTGCCGACGCGGCCTGCTCTGTGCGCCGCAAGAAGCCGGGTCCAGCCCTGGCCTTTGAGGAGAAGTGTTCTACACTGAAGGTACCAGCCCAGCTCCCTGAAGAGCAGGGGCAGGGAAGGGTCAGGATGGATGAGGTTGGAGTGCACAGGCACCTGACAAAAAGAGGTGCTTAAGTAAACATCTTGCAGGGAAGGGAAGACTGGGGAAGTTGAGAGAGCGTTCCTGGGCCATCTGCTCTAGGGAGAGGTGACCCCGGCTTTTGCTTGGTGGGCCTTCCCCTATCCCCAGCCCTCTCCTTTGGGCTAAGGAGATGTTGCCTCTGCCTCTCCCCCTTCCCCTGCTTGCTTTAATCAAAGGGCCACTTTCTGAATTGGCCGTGGCCCTCACTCCAGGACTTGGAGCTACCTCTGTTCCCCGAAGGAGAGAAAGCTGGACTCCATGAGCTCTGATAAGAAAGGTTTGGGCAGTGGGGTTGAGCTTGGGTCCCTGAGCTGTGGCCTAACACGCTGCGCACAGGCTGGGTGGGCTGGTCTTGTTCCTTGGTTTTGCCTCTGGGCATCAGGGCATGAAAGGGCAGGGACATAACCCAAGGTCCCCGTATGCATGTCTGCCCATCTTATACATATACCCATTGCCAGGTTTTGAGGTGGCAGGCAAGCTCTCCAGGGTTTCTGGTAAAGCCAGCAGCCAGGTTTATTTGCCTCTTCTGATGGGAGCCCTGGAATAGCATGCTATGAGCTATCCATATGACCTTAGCCAGGAGGAACGCATTGGAGGTGGGAAGGGGAGATGCCCTCCTGGTTTAGGCACTGGCCAGATGCATACCAACACCTTTGGTGCCCATACGAGAGTAGTAAGTTTGACAGCTGCATGGGGCCTGAGTGTGTTTTTGTCACACGTGTGCATGGGTGATCTCCAGGCTGCCTCTGCTGGGCTGGCATTCATCCTCCCCCTTGACCAGCTTTACTCACAAGACCAGCAGGAGGAAATCAAGCCTTAGCTTTTCTGGCCCACATAGTTTGCTGGATAGGAGGACAGTTAGACCCCCAGCCCGACCCTGTCTCTTGCCTCTTGTCTTCCTACAGTCAAAAGCCCATTAACAAGAAAGTGCCTGCCCACTGCGATGGAGCCGCCAGCACCTCCTCCCCTCCAGATCCGGGCCCCAGGCTGCTGCCGCTTTTTATAACTTTATATTATTTTTTTTAAGAAAAAAAACTCTTTAAAATACCTCAAGACTGTCTCCCTGTTCTGTTGCTGCTAAGAAAATATAAAAACAGAAACGTAGAAAAGGAAGGAAAGAAATGTAACAAAATGAGTGTCCTTACTGTCCCCAGCTGCTCCCCAGGAGGCTGAGATGATAGGCAGTCAGACTCCAGCTCCCGTCACTTGCCTGCAAGAAAAAATCTCTTACACTCGTATATTTTTGTCCTTTTAGTCTGTGGAAATGGCTGGGGGTTGTATCACTGGGGGAGTCTTAGGATGAGGAAGCATGTGGCTCGGAGCGAGCAAGGGGACTACAGTCCCGCTGGGAAAGGAAACTTGATGGGGGAGGGGAGCCACACCTCTGGCTCTACTCTTGGATCTTGGCCTTGAAGGTCTGTGGATGTCCGCCTGTGGTCCTTTTCTGGTCTTCCAGCAATCCTGCTCCTCCGTCCTGTCTCTGAATTTCTGCCTCAGTTTCTTCAGCCCTTTCTGTCTCTTACTAGTAGCCTTATTTTCTCAACCACTGGAGCTTGAGTTGGTAATTGCACTCAGGATGTCCCTGATTTCTGTGGGACAGCCTGGTTTTGGTCTTTCTCCATGGCCTGTGGGTTTACCCTTCAGGAAGGGGTACGGCCTCTCCCAGGTAGGCCTCCTTAAGCTGAACCACACCCTTTTTTGGAGGCAGGAAGGGAAAAGGTATCCTCACTTACAGAACTTCCCTTGGTGTGGGAGGCAGCAGCTGTGTGGGAGGCCCTAGCCCCTCAGGTTCGCCTGGCTCCCCAGGGCTGAGCAGATGGTGTGGAGGCGGCAAGGGCTGGGAGTGCCCTAGTTTTTCCATTTGTCTCACTGGGGACAACAGCTACTGTGCAGACAGGGGATACGACTGTTGCACGTCCCTCCTTTGGTCCTCAAACCTGAATTCACCAGGCACAGGGCACTAGTTTTTAGCCTTCTCCTGTCCTTTCCGTCTCCTTGCTTTTAGGCAGGGAGGGATCTTATTCCCTTAACAAGACAGAAGAAGAGGTGGCAGGAGAGAGTGGGCAACCAGGGAAATCCAGTATTTCTGGAAAACTGTTCAAAACACTGGTTTCACACTCTTGGTTCAGTATACCAAATCTGTGATTCGGGTGAAATAAGTTGTCGTAAACGTAGTTTCCACAGGCTATTTGAGACATAAGCCCCGTCAGCCCGGGTAGACATAAAGATACACATGAGTTGGGCAGAAGACACACGGTGGGCCCGGAGCTGTCCAGTCGCCTTCTGCCCTCGGGGCTCTCCAGGACGGATGCGCTTTCCCCCAGCCCCCAGAGGGCGCTGTGGACGAACCGCCGCATTGCCGGCGGCGCCCCGGGGAGGAGCCTCTCCCGCAGCCGAGGCCGCCTCCGCGATCGCAAACCCGGAAGACGTGCCCTGGCAGCTGGAAGTGTGGGGCGGCTGGGCACCGCCATGCAGTCCCTGGAGGTAGGTCTGGTTCCCGCTCCACAGAGGGAGCCGAGACTGACCCGGTGGCTGCGGAGAGGCAGTGGGATCTTGGCGCACCTGGTCGCTTTGGGCTTCACCATCTTTCTGACAGTGCTGTCCCGGCCAGGAACGAGTAAGTGTGCAAGGCGGGGCGGGGAAGGGGGCGGAGCCGAGAGCTGGAGGGGCAGCGCTTGGGAGCGCTAAGAGGCGTGGAGTGGGGACCCTAGCTGTGGATGGGCGGACTAGGGAGGGGTAGTAAGGGCGCGGTGGGGCGTGGCCTTGGGGGTGGGGCCTGGAAGGGTGGGGCTTTGGGTGATGGGAGGAGAGGAGGCGACTGAAGTGAATGGAACTCACTAGTTCATCATAAGCAAAGGCCCTCGTGGATGATGCAAGTAAAGGAGGGCTGCCAAGGTCTGTTCTAGGACTGGGCTGGTAGCTGCGAGGTGCTGAATGGGGAACGCAGGCCAAAGTGGTATGTTTGCCCTCTTGGTTACTCACCCTAAGGCCCTTTGGCTGCTCCACTTTGCCCGGAGTTCCTGATTACCCATTAGGGTTGGAGACACTCCTCTGACCTTTCCCCTCCAGCCAGACTCTTTGGGCTCCAGCCAGCCACAGGGGTAGAAACAACGGTGCCCAGTCGTCAGTCTGTTCTCTTTGATTCTTAGGTCTTTTCTCCTGGCACCCTGTATTCATGGCCTTGGCGGTGAGTTTGGGCTTCTTTCTGCAGGTGATTGGTTTGGATATGCCCCTAAGGAAGCATCCAGCCTTTAGAAGGCTTAGCCTTTCTGAGGCTCAGAGAGGTGGGGGGAAATGCCCAGGGCCCCATCTTTCCCTGCTACCTGTGAGATCAGGAAACATGGAGGGCTGGGCTGTAGGTAGTCAGGTGGTTTAAGGGGGTGGGAGGACATGGAAGATACCATTTTTTTCTCCATTAGGGCCTGAAAGGAGGAAGTGGAAGGGGTGCAATCCAGTTGCTCCCCACTCCCAAAGTTCAGGAGGAAGTTTAACATTTGCTGTTCCCATTGGTCAAGAAATGAGGGTCATTGTCTGTGGTGGAGGTGGGGGCATGATGTCAGCCTGAATGATGAGACTTCCGCTCTAGCATGGATTCCCAGTTCTGCCCACAAATGCGGACCTGTGTGGCAGGCGGTCCTGGTGGGAGTTCTTTAGCCCCCACCCTCTGTCCTCCTTGTTTGGATGTAGGAAGGCACCTCTTTTTTCTTAGGCCTCCAAGCTGGGTCTGAGGCTCACTGGCCCTCTCCTGTGTTCACAGTTCTGCCTCTGCATGGCTGAGGCCATCCTACTCTTCTCGCCTGAGCACTCCCTGTTCTTCTTCTGCTCCCGAAAGGCCCGGATCCGACTCCATTGGGCGGGGCAGACCCTAGCCATCCTCTGCGCAGCCCTGGGCCTGGGCTTTATCATCTCCAGCAGGACCCGCAGTGAGCTGCCCCACCTGGTGTCCTGGCACAGCTGGGTAGGGGCTCTGACATTGCTGGCCACTAGCGTCCAGGCACTGTGTGGGCTCTGCCTCCTCTGTCCCCGGGCAGCCAGGGTCTCAAGGGTGGCTCGCCTCAAGCTCTACCATCTGACATGTGGACTGGTGATCTACCTAATGGCTACGGTAACAGTGCTCCTGGGTATGCACTCTGTGTGGTTCCAGGCCCAGATCAAAGGTGCAGCCTGGTACCTGTGTCTGGCGCTGCCCCTCTATCCAGCCCTGGTAATCATGCACCAGATCTCCAGCTTCTACTTGCCAAGGAAGAAAATGGAAATGTGAATTCCTCCAAACTGTGAATCAAGATGGGACACTTGACTTGGACTTCAGTGGTTCCTTTGGTGACCTTCAGGGATCTACTTCAGAAGTGGTAGGGTTTTTGTATTTCTTAGCTGGGCTAGGGGCTGCAGAAACCCAAACTGCTGTTGCTGACAGATGACTCAGTGGGCCCAAATGGGGAAACGTACGGGGCGCAAGTGAAAGGTGATGGGGAGCTTGATCCTGAAGCCTCCACTCTTGATGGGAGACAGAAGTGTCAGGTGGTGGTGGTGATGGTACTGGCAGTCATTTCTTGCTTGCATGCCTGGTGAAAAGTTGGATTCCTGTAACTTATGAATGACAGCTATGGCTCTTTGGGTCACTTTGAGAAAGCAGTGTAGTGGAGAGAGCCAATGGGTCTTGTTTATGGGGTGTGGTCCTTGTACACGCTATTGTGGGACCTGATGCGAGTCACATGTCTCAGGACCTCAGTTTCCTCATCTGTGTAATGAGTGATTGTTTCTAAACAATTTCTCTTAACATTCAGTGTCTGTCAAGTTGATGTCACAGAACACCCTCCCAGGTCTGAACCGTGGGTTGGCCCACTCAGCAGACTCAGAGTGTAATTCTTACATTCATTGTCTCCTTACCCCTCTGGAGGGACAGGTCTGCTCTCGTGGCCTTTCAGGAATCTGTGCCGATTTGGCCCCTGCACCAGGGGACAAGGGGTCAGGCGCTGTGGAGAGAAGGGGCCCAGGTGAGGGTCTCCAGAACATCAAGACAGTAAAGGCACTAAAGTCACTTTAAAACTTTTGGAGGAGCAAAAGGGCATTGGCTTAACTAAGCCTCGGCTGGGCTTCTTAGCCCAGCTAAGAACTTCCTTCAGCTCACTTCAGGATCTGGGCTTGAGGGCTGCGAGACATCCATTCTCAGTGGCAAAGTAGTCCTGAACATCTCATGTTTTGTCCTTCTTAGGGCTCAGGTCCTTGCCTTAGCACATAGCTTCGTGGAGCTCTTCCGAAGCTGTTAGAACAAAATAAGAGTCAAGGAAATGGGGCAGGGCTCTTCTGATCTAAGAGAAAACAAAGTGTCTCTGGTTCCCCTTCTCCCCTTGTCAGCTAAGCTTTCCTCAAGTGTCATCTCTTGCCAGCTCTTTGGCCCAGGACGGGGCTGAATTTGGTGCCAGCTGGCAAATGAGGGCTGGGCTCTCTTCCCTGCAGAGACCCCTCCTTGTTCCAAACTGAAAGTATCAGTAGTTCCCCAGACTGCCCTCGGTGATAAGGGCTGGCTGCTAGATTGGTTGACTGTCGTCTGGCTCAGTCGGGGAGCTGGGACCTCCGTAGACCATGGCAAATACTGAAAACGGCTGAGCCAGGAAATTGGTGTTAAGGCTGGTAGAGAGAGCTCAGTGGGAACTCTGGGAGGCCTGGGGTGTAGGGCCTGGAGCTCTAGGTCCCTGGAGCAGGGGTAGATGTTCCTAGATAGCAATATTTTGGATATTTCAGGTCTTTAGAAGATTCAAGACCTCCTTTCTGGGTGGCTCAGAAGCAGGGAGGTTGGTATGATTCAACAGTACAGGAGTGAGAACTGCAGGGGCAGAGGGGTTCTCTGAGCGGACCTCGCTAGGATCCTCCTGGGTCAGGTGTCATCTCCTAGGAGCTCTCCAGACCCTGAGCATCTCAAGGGGGACCCCTGCTATGCAGAGGGTGATTGTTCCTGTCTTTTTCATTGCCCTCTCTCCCCTCTCCAACTCCTCAGTGTGTTCTGAACTTGGGAGAGATGGTTGCTGGGGCTGCATGGAGGAGATTCTCACTGAGGGTCGCTTTGATCAGGGAGCCCATCACCCCTTGCCCACCACAGTCAGTGCTGGGAGTCTTACTCTGTCTATAGCAGGGTAGGAAGGCTGGGTGGGGTTCACCAGCTTGCTCTGGGAGCCAAGCAGGCAACACCATAAAGCCCGAGCCTGCCTGAGGTGTTGCCTCCTCCCAGGTGGTGCGGGGGCTGGTGAGCGGGCAGGCTGGCTGACAGCCGGCAGTTTGCGTGGGCAGTGCCAGCTGATGTCTATTCCCAGCCCTGGGAGGAAGGGGGAAGTCATTTATATTCCGCAGGAGGAAGGGGTCCCAGCTGTCACTTCTCTGACCGGTAGGCCTCGGGGGTGGGGGGGCAGAGGCACAGGGCAGAGAGGGGGGCACAGGTGGTCTCCTGCTTAGCCAGTCTGATTGCAGTATAGGGAGGAGGTCGCCAGGAGGAGCCCTTCTTTCCAGCTGGCCAGATTGTAGGGGGACTTCCCTCCGCTCCCCTCCTTTCTCCTTCCATCACCACCTGCCCTCACATCCTGGGGCAGCAGCTGGGCAACCATTAGACCTCAGTGCCAGAGCACTCTTCCTCCAGCTGGGATCTCGGGGGCTGACGGCTGCATATGCCTCTTGCTTGTGTGTTTCCTCCTCCCTACACCCTCTATCCCCCCACCTCCCTGTATCTCCCCATCTGGGGTGTTATCTGGGCTCCTCAGGAGTGAGGCAGAGGCCTTGTGGGAGAAGCAAATGGCTGCCCTTTTGCCCTTGTCCCCTAACTAGGGAAAGCTGCTAGTAGCCAGCCTGTTTTGCCTTTAAAAAAAAAAAAGCCAGGGTGTTCAAGTTTTTTTAAATTCTGTGTCATTTGCACAAATTTGCATATCAAGCTCACTAAGTCCTGATTCCGAATATGATTACATTCAAACTCAGCCTTGAGGACATTAGAAATATAGATGCTTTTTGTATCTAAATCCAAATGGTAATAGGATCACCATTCTGGGTTCACATACCACCCCAAAGCCCCCATCTTTCCCATAGCCACCGCTTTCCCACCCCAACACTTCCCCCCGCCCTGCCCCTGGCTGGGGGGTGGTGTTGAATGGCAGGAGCTCTGTCTGGGGAAGTCTCCCAGCCTCACCTTCTTGGCTTTTCAGCTGCACCGAAGGTAGGCTGCTATCTCTTGCCAGCCTGTGCCTCCTCTGTCCGCACCCTCTCACAGCGCAGACTACCTCTCCCCACTCCGACACCGGCCTGTCCCTTCCTTCTCATCGTCCCCACCCTTCCACCCCTGGGCATGGCTGCCGTGGGTCTTGTTTTTAAAACCTCACCGTGGGAGATCCAGGCATTCTTCCTGAGCCAGCTGGCTGCTATGCCAAGGCGTTCAGAGTTAACAGTAATCATTAGCTGAACAGTGCTGGGGCTTTTCAGCTCCAGATCTCTAAGCACTTGCAGGCTGAGTCAGCCAGCCCTCACCTTCCCCCTCTTCTTGGGCTGCAGAGGGAGGAGGGGTCAGGAGTCTCACCTCCCAGCCAAGCCTCATCCTTCCTCTGGGAGCGGGCCCTGAGCATCCTCTGAGTAAACTAATAAGGCCTTTTCACCTGACAAAGGTCAAGATGTAGGGAACGTAGTACATGCTCCACTGACACTGATAGTGGTGGCTGTTGACCTTGAACCTCTAGTACTCCTGCCCTTCCTTCTGTTGACCTGTCTTGGCCTCCAGGGGACACCCCTGACTCCCTCAGCATTTCTGGTGGCCCTCTGCAGGCTTAGGGAGCAGGGAGGCGTCTGGTTCAGTGCTCCCGCTGCCCCTGCGTCTGGTTGGCATAAAGAGCCTACATATCATGAAGTGAAAAGTGAATCGACCTGGGAGCTAGGAAACCTGCAGTCTGGGTTTACCCAGCTCCTAACACTGGTGTGGCCACAGGCAAATCACTTACTGCTTGACCTATCTCACAGGGATGTTGTGAGCGCTAGATGACAGAATGCTATGTTAACAGGCATTGGGAAGTTCAAAGCATTAAACATGTAAACAGGTGGTATTACGTGCTTGTCCTTATCTCTCTTTCACTCAACCTGGCTCTGGGTTTTATGCTTCTTTTAGGGAGGCAATAAACAGTTATGGATAATGATGCTTAGAGGACCCAAGTCTCTGAGAGGTTGTGTTGCTGGCCATCACTGGAGAACACAGACATTTCCTCCTAGATGCAAGGTCAGGAATGCCACCAAGGCTATGACTCTAGTGAAGCTTGCCCTGAGTGCTGCCAGCTAGTGCTTTCAAGTCACAGGGCTGATTGCAAATCTGGGAGTCAGTTATCCCCCAGGTCCAGCCTGAAGTTCCTGGAGCTGGTCTTAGTCTGGAGCTCCTGGTCACAAGTCTATCTAAATTTCTCCTACCTAATTCTGCTCTTCTGAGGGAAAGGCGGAGCACACAATCCAGGAAGGGAGGAGCAACAGCAATGGACACAACACTGCCACACCAACCCTCTGGTTTCCCCCATAGCCACAGGCTGCCTCAGGCCCTCACCCCGGCACAGCATGGAGGTAGGGAGCTGTGAGACACAACCCCTGGCTTGTTCACGGGTTTGTTTCTCCTTCCTTGTTTCAGCCTCTTGGAGTAGGATCACAGCCCCTTCCTCCTCAAAGGACTTTATTGGAATTAAAACACACACGCACATGCACACACACATACACACGCCATGAAAGCAGTTATGTTCAAATTAGAAGAAGGATACTTTCCATTCCATTGGTCTGAGAACAGCCAGCAGTCTGCCTGGAGTGGACACAGAGAGGCAGGCACCCCAGGAGTGCAGAGGCTTCAGTATTTGTTTTTTAATCTTGGTGGGTTTTATTTTATTTTATTTTTCTCTGTCCTGGGATCCAGGAATGAAACACTAGTCAGGCATTGCAGTCATGGCCTCAGCAAAGCATAGGCACAGAGAAGACACAGCTGAAAGGCAGGAGGATAGTGGCCCAGAACTGCTCTGGATGGTGGTTTGATGTAGACAGTCTCCAGCACTGGGCTAAGCTTAAAGCAGACAGATTTCCTCCATTCCCTCCAGTAAGACCGCCTTCTCCCTACCCACCCACCCACCCAGAAGGCTTGACTAAGTTACCGATGTGCAGGGAATAAGTTCCAGTTTTTAATCTACCTGCTATTAGAATTTCTCAGATTTTTTGAACCTCTGTTAAAAGCAGATTAAGCAGCTACTTCAGGCTAGTCTCTGGTACCAGAGGATTCAACTTTGTCTCATTGAGTATACATGAGAGGCCCCCAGCACCCCTCTCTTTAAAGCAGATTCCCACTTATCTCACAGTGCTTTCTAAGGATGCCCAAGACTGGGCTCGGCCTTTCTGCTTAGGTCCACGCCTAAAGCAAACTACGGCCAAGTGAAGAAGCAGTGGGAGGTGCAGGAAAAGCAGCACAAAGTTCTATCCAGCTCCAGTGCTCCCCAACCTGTGTGCATGTTTGTATGGGCGTGCACATGCATACACCACCCCCCGCTCCGACTTTGGGGTCAGTGACTCTCACCTTATGTGTGTCAGTGCTGTAGGGCACCTAGAAGTTCCTGCAGGGCCTCATGTCCTAAAGGTTGGTTCTCTCCATGCCCTCTGTGATTGTGGGACGGTAACAAAGCCTATGTCTGACTGGAAGGCCTCAGGGCAGGAAAACACTTCATGTTTTCCACACAACAGTATATAAGCCTGATGAAAGGGCTTGACGTGGCAGCTGCTTTAGCTCTCCTCTCTGAAGCCTGGGGAGAGGAATCATCCAGCATAGGCTCACTGTAGCCAGACCAGAAGAGCTAACCATACTACTGCATGGGCCTGAGACTTTTCTGCAGTGTGGGTGGGAAAAGTGACGCTTCCCCAGCGGTTGCCCGGGAGATAAGATAAGGGGTACAAGAGCTACATCTGCAGAAAGGGAAGGAGTTTGAGAGATCAGATGGAAGAGAGACTAGGCTGGGCAATCCACTGAACTCCCATTTTCTGTTCTAAAAGGTAACCATCCTACTAACCTCATCCATTCTCCTGCAGTGCCACCTAAGAGGAGCTGGGGAAGAGCTGCAAAACATGGCAGACAAAACTGCACATCTTGGCCAGGACCTATGGAACTCCCTGGGGGGCTGGGGAAGGGGGGAGAAGGGGAGGGTTGAAGAGATGCAGCCACGGATTCCTTGGGATGATGGAGAAAGGAGTATCAAAACGTTTCAGGCACAGAGACAGGGCTTGGCACAGGCCAAAATACAGGGGAGAACTCTCAGTAGTCTTCCCCAGATCTGTTCTCTTTATCAGCTCACCCTCTTGGCTAAACTCAGCCATAGCAAAAACTGCTTTGGAAAGATTAAAAAATACTATATAAATGAAGACTCTAGGGGTGCTCTGGCATCAACATCTGTCATTGCATTGACTGCCAAGGTTGACTGGTCTGATGTGGCTGGCTGTGAGGTGTCTCCATCCCTCACCACTTTACTTGTTCCTCATGAAGAGAAAAAGACAGCTTTCCAGACAGAGGAGGACTGTCCTTTGGTCAAGATTTTATCCATGTAAGAAATTAGGTAATTATTCAAATTCTGATTCTTATTTTATTTTTTGACTGCACTGCATGACTTGCGGGATCTTAGTTCCTCAAGCAGGGATTGAACCCGTGCCCCCCTGTAGCGGAAGTGTGGAGTCCTAACCACTGGACCGCCAGGGAATTCCCCAAATTCTGATTCTTTTAGTTTCTCTTTTCCTTATACCATTTCCTCTTCCCTTGTGGAATCTACCATGACAATCCCCTACCAAGAGAGTAGCCAAAGAAACTGCATGTTCAGACTTTAGTAGAATCCAGTCCAATTTCTGGTAAGCTGTCTTCTGTACCAAGAAAGTGGGGACCGCATTTCTGTGTTCTGTGCAATGCCTAGGACATATTACACTGTCAATGAATAATAACCTTCCTATTAAATTAATATACTTTAAGCCAAACTAAGATGGTTACCATTCACGACATGAACATATACCGGTAATAATCAAAATACTGTGAAACCGACCTGCTCTCCCATCGTTTCTTTTAACCCAGTCCAAGCATTTTTCCATGGTACAGTTTGCAGGCTTGATCCAGACTTTTAAGAGAACTCTTCAGGGAGACAACCCTCCTCCCCAGGGATCCAGAAAGCCTTCTTTATTTACAGGCTCTAGCCCCAAGTCATGGAATTTCTAAACTCTCTCTTGCTAAAGCGTCAGTGACATTTCTTTTGAGAATATCTGCCAGGTTGGCAAACTATGGTCTGCTGGCCAAAACCAACCTGCTGCCTGGTTTTGTATGGTCTGTGAGCTAGTAAGAGTTTGTGCATTTTTAAATGGTTAAAAAACCTCAAATACATGTTACAATGATATGGCAATCGCATTTTAATGTCCATAAATAAAGTTTTACTGGAACAGAGCCACAGTCATTCATTTGTGTGCTGTCTGTGGCTGCCTTCCTGCCACAACGGTACAGCTGAGTAGTTGTAACAGAGACTATATGGGCTGCGAAGCTGAACACGTTTCCTGTCTGGCTGTTTACAGAAAAGGTTGGCTGACCCCTGGTCCATCTTAATGCCTAGATGTGGATTCAACCCATGCCCTTATAACAGCATTTAACTCTTCTCCCCCTAGACAGGCCACACCCTTCTGAGGTCCAGTGAACCCCAGCCACAGGCTGAAAAGATAAATAAACCAGTCACAGACTATGCCAGAACAGAGACTCAAGCCAGGTTTAATGATCATTGTCTAGTTTTCAGAGCCCAGAGGCTCCAAGGTTTGCCAGCCTGAGAGTACATAAGTGGGAAGACTAGGATCCTGGACATGGGGAGGCCTGCTTGCTCCGCCAGCAGGGCTACGAGGAAGTACAAAGGTAAGGACACACGGAAAACTGGAATCAGTTGGCTTTACTCTCCCCAGCTGGGGTATACCTGCTCCTGGCTCCTTCCTAGGAGCCTCATAAATACAGGCAAAGAAAAAAAATCACAAATAATCACACAGATTGTACAGCCCTGTCGTTCTGTCTCCAGGGACACCTGCTTCCTGGGAGACACGTCTGGTTTATGGGAGTTGGGGTGATGGCTCGACCTTTATAACCAGAGCTAGCAGTTTCCTACACGGGGTTCTACTGAGCTTACATACGCTGAGTACCCGATCCCCCAGGTAGAAAGCTACCTTTGGGTTCTATCAACTGAAACCATGGGAGGAGGCTCATCACTTCAGTCTCTTGGTGGGGCAGCCAGGCACGTCTACCAGTCTCTCAAACCGGTAGGTACTGGCCAACCTAGTGGATACAGTGGGGAGACTTAGATCCTCAGGGCCTTTTATTGATATTATGCCCTAAACTGGGTAGGATTTATGAAGCAAATGGCCTTCCTAGTCCTCAGGAACACAGCTAGAAGGCCCCAGAAGACCCACTTCATTTGACATTCACTTTAAAGATTTTCAGAGCCCCAGATGGTGCCTAGAGGGGAAGCTGCAGTATGGAGGTGAGATTTTTCCCCGATTCCCTGGTAAGTCTGAGGAGGGAGTCCTGGTTCCTATAGCTTCAGTATCAGAATCTTCAGAAGTCTCTGAAATATAACCAGACAACTTTTTCCTCCTGCCCCTGTCTTACCAGGGCAGTTAACACAGGAAGAGCAACTTACAGCTCCCTGGTCCCCTGCCAGTGTTCTGGGTCTGTCACTGACCTAGTTCTACATTTATTTCTCACATATATCATCTTTAATCCAAGGAAGGTTTCTGAGGGGTCTGAAGAGCCAGCTAGCTCCTCATCACCCCTCCTCTCAAGATCTTCAACCTGTAGTTCTCCTAACTCCAGCCTTTGCTGAGAAGTTATTCAGTGTCGTGGAGATGTGGGTGAAGCTTCAGGCCGTTCAGAAATCTAAAGTACAAAAGTTTGTATTTGTGGAGCCTGGCATGGTCACTGTCTCTCCTACAGGGCAAGAAAATTGTGTGCATGAAGTTGTGCACATGGGTGGAAACCACTCTGGAAGTGGACGTTAGTGGGGACTGAAGACTCACTGTCTTGATGGAA